TTTATTTTATTCCCTGCGTAACTGTTTACTGTTGTTAGCACTCCTATTTTCATAAATAATATTAAAAAATTTGATTCAGTTGTAATCGTATAGGGGAAACAGATAAACTTTACTTTAATATCAGGTACCAGTAAGTTAAAACTGCAAGGATTCAGTTAAGAAAAGAAATAAAATGTTAACAGCAGTCTTATAATGTATACTCTACAAAGTGTACTCAAACTCATTGATCAAAATAAGTATATTCATTGCATAGCTAAGGACATAAATTCTTACTACTACTGGGTCCTGGTCCCGCTCATATTTGAAATTAAATCCACAGTAATATTTACTTATTCATTCTGATTTTGGTAGAGGTAAGTGGCTTAGGTTGGGTACAGGCAGAACCATAGTGTGCCGTGGCAGACTTTAGAGATAAATGGAGCAGTACCCATAAGGGTGTAATAATATCTCAAGTAAATGACATAGTATTTAATTTGGGAAATTATCTTTTTGTGGCAAGTTTTCTATAAATTGAGATTTTTAGACAGAAACCTCGAGATATTACGAAAGTTGTCTACAAAGTTTGAGTGATCTCAGGTGGTGACCATGATGTTGCCATGACCGCAACGGGAATAATCATGATATTACCACAATCACACGATGTTCTGGAGTTAGTATTGAATCTAAAATCAACAAGTACAAGTGAACAGATTTAGCATGACCGGTGAGAAGCGGTAAAGGATCAAAAGTGGGGCAGCTGCTTGCCAGAGGGGAGGAGACACTGCACTACTAGCCTTACTGAATATCTATGGCCTGCTCGTGCCTCGCATCACTGTAGATGTGATTCGCGGGCTCCCCCCCCCACCTCTGTTATCAACTCTGTAGCTCTTGCACTTCTCCAGCTCACCGGTCATGCTAAACCTGCTCAGAATCTACACCAGTAACTTTGAATTGGCACGTCATCACTTAAGTTTAACTGCAAAATTTACTGCTCTATCCAGGTTATTTTAAAGTTTAATTATGATTTCAGATTTTTTTAATTGAGCAGATACCCTTGCTAAAAAGATCTAATTACCAGATCCATGTTTCTAATTAACTTTCAGATAGAATAATTAAATTTTATTTCTTAAACTAAAAAAATACAAAATTTGAAAAACTTGGTTTGTTAAAATATGTGAGAAATAACAATGTTTTTGTGAGTTTGTATACACTTTGTTTGAGGGAATATTTTTACAACTAATGTTCTCTTTTTTATTATGATTTTGAGCTTAAAATTATAGATTTGTTCAGACAATATGTTTTAAAGTTACAAAAGTAGACTAATTAATTACCAATCAATGAGGGCCGCTTTCCCCAAATCAAGTTTAACTTAATCTCGGTTAACTTTAATCGGTGGGTTAAACTTAGGATGGCTATCCCCACTATTTTGTCATGAAAGTTTAGTTTAACCTAGCTTTTCTTTGCAAGCAACAATGTTGGCAACAGTGTTATGCAATTTTGTCTGAAATATTAGCTGTTAAACTCCCCACTATGACATATCTGTGGTTTAATTTATTTTCTCGTGTTTTGGTTATTTGTATTAAGTTTCGTGTCATTGTCTCCAATTGATGACATTAAAAAGAAACATTTTTATTTGCAGACTGATAAATTGTACTGATGCTAATTTATAAGCATTTCATTTCTTGTGTTTATTTAAGCTCAAACTTAATTAAACAGTAGGCCTACTGTACGCATCAAATAAAAGCATTAATTACAATAATGGGAAAATAAAATGTTGGGAAAGACGCAAAATTAATGTTTGTGGATTAAAAACTAGAGCCTATCCTTTGTAATGGCAGGCCTAGCCTACTCAGCATTAGACACGTTCGATCAATGTTTCTAAACTAAATTTTAATTTTAGGCCTACTACAGTAGTTGTTAATTTACACATGATAATAGGCTAGTGGTTAGGCCCGAATGTTAACTAATATTTACTTTTGTGTAATGTAAGACTCGTGTTAAAATAAAATCAACCCAAAAGGCTTCTTATGAGCAAACTTTCCAACCACTGTTGCGTTGCTGTGGACAAGGTAACCTATCTATTGTACACAACTAACGATACTACCTAGGCTACCGAAAATATAATAATTTAGGCCTACTCTACGCATTTAAAAACCTTAAAACCATTACTGTATATCTGTAGCCTTATATCTTTAAATTTGAAATAGTCATGAATTGTCTACATAGGTTCTGGTTTGCTATTTCTTAATTTATTTCCAGTTCAATTTATTTTAGGTTATGTTTAACAAACGTCGAACAAGGATATTTGCCATTGCTGTCTGCCGAACGTAACAAGTCAGCCAAGAGCCAATCAAAATCAAGCTATTATTCTTCTCTCCTGGTTTAACCCATGGATAGCCAGTTAACAGCCTCACCCGGAGGGTTAACTTAAACCTAGTTTAAACGGAGAAATTATTTTGGGGAAAGCGGCCCTGAATATTATTTACACATTAAAAAAATACATTTTACAGTCCCTTATGAGTAATTTGTTCTGATATTGTTCTCAATTAATTTTATATAACAATAACATATATGTAAGATCATACAACTAATAGCGGCACAAATAGTGGATGGAGGATAGCAGATCTGATCATCATTTAATAAACCATTTAAGCGTTTAACAAATCACATAATTGATAACTATATACCATTTTGTTTGAATGTAACTTATTTCCTCCTTGAAGCTGTTCAGGGTGTTAAAGGACATAGCCCAAAAACCAAAATAAATATTTAGAAAGTTAGCCAAAACTGAAAGTTTTCTGTGTGGTTATGGTCCAATCACCAAAACTAATTATTGATAGTTATTTATTAAATTATGCCGTAGCAGAACTACAAAATAAACGCTGCAGTCAAAGTTATTCATATGAAAATAGCATTTTTATCTCACTTCCCGGAAAACAGCCATTTTTAGTTCTCTAAATCGTCCGTAAAATCGTCGTTTTAAGGTTACTTCAAATAGGGAACAGAATAAACAATAAACATATGGTAAATTTTTCGGTTTGCTAAACCTCAAAATTTTATTAGTGAATTATGAAAATGCTACTAATCACCATAGAGATGAATGGATTATAGCGATATTTAAAGTTATGTTTGTAAACAACAGAAATGTAAACATTACTGACGACTTAGTATAACCCCAAATTAAAGGTTATTTCCACATTATGATGAAAACTAGGCTACTGTTTCCTACAGTCACCCGACAAAGTGGGCTTCCTTGCACTGATTAGTACAGAAAGTTGCTAATTAATGCATTCACTTACTTTTTTTTTGCCGCACACCAGTATTCCAACCAACTAACACAAAACGGTGAGCTTTTATTAAAAATGTAATCTGTGTACGCTTGGAAATAGGTTGGAAACACTTAAAGATATTAGGACTACGATCAGCTGGTGCAGCGTTTCCTTTCGTTCAATGTTTGGATTTAACCTAACCTAAAATTGTGTTGTACAGTGTTTGAAAGAATTTACCTATATGATTTAAAGTAACTGTAGGAAACATATAATGTGTAACACGCCTTTGCTGCACTCAAGAAACATTCCACACTTGCCTACGGGTTGTGCGTTAACATTTCTCTCGTATGCAGCAAAATGCCACTTCGACCACTAGTTACACAAATAACTATTCTAACTGGTTAATAAGCAGCTGATTACATTGTGGTTCCTCAGCAGTTAGTATTTATTTACTCCATCCAATGATTTGTGCCTTTTAACAACAATGTAAAATTCTACACTGAACTTAGTACTACTATACATGAATAAACTATAAATATAAATTTATACATATTTTTATACTGCATTCATCTTTTGGGTACATAGTTCTTTCCCTCAAACACCAATGATTTAAGTAGAACGTAGTTTTGTTTAAATTATTAACATATATTTTGTGGCTGAAATGGAGCGGTTGTACTAGTGCTAAAATCAGTAAAAAAAATATCATATTCCACTTAAGGGAATAAATGGAAATAGAAATATTGTTTTCAAGCAGATTTTCAACGTAACTTTTTTTACTTTTTATTTTACCAAGAGACAAAATAATCAATGTAAAATGATTTTTAAGGGCTTACCTAATAATGTTAGGTAGGTACTTATCTAGTGTTTGAAAGGAATAATGTATAACGACTTAGTCACTAGCAATAAAAGTATTAGGAACAAACAACAATAGGTTTTATTCTGTCTTAAAAAAGGAAGTGTGATACAATAATAATATTAGCTTCTCATTGTATACATAGAGTTGAGCCTGAAGAATAAAATAGTCAAACCAGTTTAACAAGAATTGTGAAACTTCTTTAGCAATAGACTTTGTTTTGAATAATTGTATATCAATTTAATACTGGATGCAATATTGTCATCAACCATACTTGGATATTAAATCAATTCAAATGCAAGCTAAATAACTTAATAACTAGTTTACCTTGTGGTTGCCAGATTCTTGAAATGTGTAGATATCTTGCTCGATGTACATTTCGCTACATGTGTAGCATCGTCAGGAGCACAGTTTGTCACATTAGGCTATTTAACACAAACACTATTTACAAATATTTACATTTTCGGTCGGATGACGATTTACGGTAAAATAGTGTTTCTGTTAAATAGCCTAATGTGACAAACTGTGCTCCTGACGATGCTACACATGTAGCGAAATGTACATCGAGCAAGATATCTACACATTTCAAGAATCTGGCAACCACAAGGTAAACTAGTTATTAATAATTCGTTCTTGAAGCTCGAATAATACACAACTTCTAAATAACTTCTTGATCATTATTGTGTGTGTTATTAAATTTACGGAAAGTAAATAAAAGAAACGTCTTATAACACTTAAAACATATATTTACGCTTATACTATTACTCACAAGACAGTAAATATACATAAACGATGGTTGATATATAAGTGGTGATCAATTTCGATTGGAGTGTCCAATCGTAATCGATCACCACTTACCATTGTTTATGTATATTTACCGTCTTGTGAGTAACAGTATAAGCGTAACTATATGTTTAACTGTTTTAAGTGTTATAAGACAATTCTTTTATTTACTTTCCGTTATGGCAAGTGGAAAATATACCACCGCCGACGCAAACCTGCAGACTAAACAAATTTCCATTTGCCTGAATTGATTTGAAGTTAAATCTATTTAAATAACATTAGGTTTAACGTGTAGGCTACCTAGGTTTGTTGCTACAGGGACGGTAATAAAATGTGTTTTTTTAGTAAAATATTAGTAGCTTAGTATATCAAAATATTTAAAATATATCAAGATTGATCAAAATATTTCCATAAACAAGCAACTACAACATTTTACAATATTCTCCGTAAGATTAACATAGCAATTTTAAATTTGCAATTTTTTAAATTTTCTCCGTAACCAATAACCGTACAAAAACATTTCAAGATACTAATTTATTTGTTTTTTTAAGCCCTTTAAAATGGTCTAGATAGAAATTAGGAAGTATTGTGTTTTGAGGGCCAAAAATTAGAAAAACCAATTTTTACCCCATAAAACCCCCATTTATTTGTATTTTCTATGTAATTATGATGGAATAAAATCATTATTTAATTATTTCATATATATATATAACAATTTGAACGCGGATTGTGTTTTTGGCCTCTAGGGACGTCAAAATGAAAAAGTATACCGGTCCCGGCTACATGTCTTACCGCACCACCTACAGTAATAGCTACTTACCAATATTCGCTAAAACGTTGATGTAAAAATTAAATAGCCTATTACAAGACAATTATAGAGATTATGTAAAATATTTCCTGTTAAACATCAAATAGGTGTGATGTATTATAAGCATAATAAGCAGCTAATGGCAGTCAGAGTAAATAACTTAAATGTTAAATACAACACATACCAGTTACAGTATACAAAACCAACAAGTTTTGTACCATAGCCGGAGACTATCGACCTGTAGGAACATAGATTTCCATATTATTTGATTTAAATACTTACCACATGACACTTACAGAACATACACAACATTCTATAACTATTGATACTACCGGATGTCTACTCTACTAGGAGGGGTTCTCTTGACACCGCAGCAGTTTCAGATAGTTGCTCGGCAGACTACTTCGACGTACCCACTTCTTGAGAATGCAGTTCAAGTTTTGTCATCTCTCCTTCAGTGTTTTCCTCAAATGCTTGCAGTCCTCTATCACAAATCTGTACAGTGGTCCATGAAATAATAATTAGTAATAGTAAACAATGTATAATTTTGTATTCAATTGTAGTGGTGGGGGGGGGGGGGGCAGAATGAACAATAAACATGAACTGGAAGTAAATCATTTTTGCTCACAATAAAATGAGTAAGGCCATGAGAGTTAGTCTTATAAAATATCAGAATTTGATTGCCAAGGAGTTTTAAAAGGCAAAATAGCTACAAAAGGACTTTGACAAAGTCTTGGTGAGTGTTTTTACTGCAGCCCAATTCTAGGATATTGGTCATCCTATAGGACTTGGAACTAAAGGGTGTCCAAGTAAGAATGCCGGATTTCAGGAGCGTCTTATCCTTATCTGTATTTCAATAGGAATTCCCTAACTACCAGCGATGTTATCAGTTAGGTCCCATTTGTAGTCATGAATCGCTACATGACGGATCAACGCGTGGTTATGGTTAAAGTGCACTACAAGTACGGGGAATGTTTCGCTGAAACGGTGCAGAAGGGTGTAAATGGTGAACGTTACAGGGAAATGATACGAGAGTTTCTCTGGCCCGAGCTTGAGGAGATGACCCTGAAAAAAACATGTGATTTCAACAGGACGGCACAACATGCCATACTGCTCGAGATTCAATTAATTTGTTGCACGAACGATTCCCAGGACGTGTGATTTCGAAACATGGTGATCGGAACTGGCCAGCAAGATCGTGCGATTTAACACCGTGTGACTACTTTCTTTGGGGATATTTAAAGTCGCTTGTTTTCGCCAATAATCCGGTTCGGAGGAAATTATTCGTGCCATTAATGGAATTCAACAGGAAGTGTGTGAAAAAGTGATGGAAAACTTTGTCAAGAGATGTCGGGCTTGTCAGCAGGCAGCAGGTGGGCACTTACAAGACATAATATTCCATTACTAATCTGAGATACTATACTTTAAGATTCATGTATCATATTGTAAATTTAGCGTGAAAATATATGGTTTGTTAACGTTTCAAATCCGGCGTTCTTATTGGGACGCCCTTTATGTTAACATTACTATCTTGATTTTTGACAAGACTGTATCTAGTGGCCAGTCAGATAACAGTCACTATTGATGGTTTTTACTGATTTTGTCTTTCCCACTCAAATTACTATTATTCCAGTGTGGTTGTGGTTGTTGTTGGACATTGAGAGCCAATTTTAAGGAGAGATGTCACCTTCCAATAGCCCCATTTGCAAAAGGATGGTAAGCTGTAGTTTTTATGTGATTTATGCCAAGTATTGCTGTAAATGAGTAAGGGTTCATAAAATTTGTTAATATTTATAATCAAACTAGACCCTTACTAGCAGAAATACCTCGCCGATTTGCCGAAGTTAAGTCCCGAAATGTAAACATAACATATTAGCAGATGACACAAGTTCAGAAACAAGCTGATCTTGTGGTTCACCGCCGCCCCACTGGACCGCGCATCAATCGCCCGCGCCTGCGCAGGGACCCTTGGTCACAGCGCTGAGTGTGCGTGGTGGTCTCCGAGTCGGCAGTTGCCTGAGCAATTGGGCAGAAGAAGGACGCACATCGCTACGCTCTCGCTCACGCCAAGTAAGTGGCCGACATTCACCGCTGTTGTACCCACTACCCAGGACGCCTGGGATAACTCGACCTCACTCGCTATCGCATTTATTACGCCTACCGATTATTCACTGTTAATCAATTACGCTATTTAAGTTAAACGTCCGCAGGAAGTTTAGTCTTAAATTTAATTGAATAATTAACAGAGATTGATTTGATGAAATCTATAACTAATTTTAAAAGTTCAAAAAGGCCAATATATAATAAATTGTTTTAATCACAAGCGCTTTCGGAAACTATGTTTCCATCGTCAGGCTGTGTTCAAACTGGAACAAAAAGTAAATATTTTGACCAGTTTGAATACAGCCTGAAGATGGAAACATAGTTTCCGAAAGCGCTTGTGATTAAAACAATTTGTTATATATTGGCCTTTTTGAACTTTTAAAATTAGTTATACATTTCATCATTCATTGCCAATATCTCCAAATATAAGTTAGAGATTGATTTATTTAAACTTGAGATTATTCTTAAATATTGTTCTATTGTAAAATAGGGTGTGATCTGTTTTGTTCAAATAGCTTAGCAAATATATAATGACCAGCTTTGATTTGTGGAATATCTGAATTTCGTCCGATACATATTTTATAGACCGTGAGCTTGAAGAAGTAACGGCCCAAACGAGATCCGCCCGTTTATAAATCCTTCTGTTTTATTTGTGTTGTTTGATTTCTTTGTTTAAATCTATTCAAGTTCAATTGGTTCTGGTCACGCAAGGTGGCTTTTCATATTCGTGTGTTTTGTTTGTTTTCGCGTAGGTCCGTGAGAAGACGGTATTTACCTAAATATAAAGTGTGGTGTTTAGTTGGTAGTCAATGTTTATCTTAATTACTGTAGCAGCAATTTAGCTGTGAGATCTTTGATTTATGGGAGTAAGGGTGAACAGTGGATTTATTTGAGTGATTTTAATATTTTGTTGGCCTCTTTACTAACTAACACGCTTTCATTTGTTTGTATTTCAGAACTTTACTAACCATTGTAGCTATTCATTGTCTTTTATAATAGAACCAGTGAACAGCAGTTATGTTCTATGTAGTTGCTTAGTTGCCATTAATTGTTAATGTTCTATGTAGTTGCTTTAGCCTGCTACTAATTATTGATGTGTTGAACAATGTACGTAGTTAAATATCCTAACTTACGATTCGATTCCGCTACTAACACATTAACCATCGAAATTGCTTCAAATCTTAGAATAACGCTTAACTAAGGCTTTGGGGAAACGGATTGGCTTTGGGAATTTTTATTAGCCGTGACGTTAGCCAGTTAAGCCCCAACTCCTATTCTCATTCTTCACCATTTCCTTGATTCCTGGACTGTTGCTAATTGAGTGATCTGTGTGTTGTATGTGTTGTGTGTGTTTCTCCATTGTAACAATTAACTCTAGATACTGAAATTTATTTACTTACTTCCAAAAGAAATATGGGATTGGAACAGTCGAAAGATGCCAGAGAGCATGAGCATCAAATATCCAGAGATATGGTGGAAAGTCAGAGACTTCTAACAGTGTGGTGAGCAGACCTAGGACTACAACAGTAGCCAAGTACTTGGAGTGATTGAGCTGCCTCCAGGATGCCAAGCTCCATACAGCTGATACTCCCGCACTCAAGATACCTGCAATGACATAGATAGGGCATGAGCATCAAATATCCAGTGAAATAGTGGAAAGTCAGAGACTTCTAACAGTGTGGTGAGCAGACCTAGGACTACCACAGTAGCCAAGTACTTTGAGTGATTGAGCTGCCTCCAGGATGCCAAGCTCCATACAGCTGATACTCCCGCACTCAAGATACCTGCAATGACATAGATAGGGCATGAGCATCAAATATCCAGTGAAATAGTGGAAAGTCAGAGACTTCTAACAGTGTGGTGAGCAGACCTAGGACTACAACAGTAGCCAAGTACTTGGAGTGATTGAGCTGCCTCCAGGATGCCAAGCTCCATACAGCTGATACTCCCGCACTCAAGATACCTGCAATGACATAGATAGGGCATGAGCATCAAATATCCAGTGAAATAGTGGAAAGTCAGAGACTTCTAACAGTGTGGTGAGCAGACCTAGGACTACCACAGTAGCCAAGTACTTTGAGTGATTGAGCTGCCTCCAGGATGCCAAGCTCCATACAGCTGATACTCCCGCACTCAAGATACCTGCAATGACATAGATAGGGCATGAGCATAAAATATCCAATGAAATAGTGGAATGTCAGAGACTTATAACAGTGTGGTGAGCAGACCAAAGACTACTTTGGTGATTCTTTGTCTCACTCTCTCTCAATTAGTCAGCTGACTTGACCGCACGCTCGCGATAGTCTACCTAGTGGCCGCCGCGGGAACTATACAAAATTCAAATATTTCCAGACTGAATTTTTAACAAAGGCATTGCGCTTCTTAAAAGGTTTGTATTCATTGGTACTAGTACCATGTTGTACAAATACATACACAAACACTATTGCATATGTGCATACATACAAGAACAAGTAGACATTAACCCAAAAACACTTTTAAAAACTCATTGGGCACCAAAACAAATATTTCCTCAAACATTTTAAAACCTAAAATGTTTACAAACAAATCTTTTTCTATAAACTAATTTACAGGGAAGAAAAGAAAACAATGCTGATAAGTCTGAAGAGAATAATGACAAAACACTGATTTGACAATTAATATCGTAGATACTCCCAATATATGAGCCGTGACATGTCCACAAGCCTCACACGATGTAACATCTTAGTTTTGTTATGGTCCTACACTGTGTTGTCGCCGTAATTGGGTTGTTTCGCAGCAGAGCCCCGGTGTTTCAATGTCTGCTGTTCTGTCACGTGTTTTGATCATAAGGCCCATGACTGTCAGTGTGTCCATGTTAAGACTTTGTGTGTCACGTTGTTAGTTAAAATATATCCTTCTTCATCATTTGTGAATTTGTTTATGGTTCAAACCTTTTTGTCATTATTGAAGACATGGATTAGTTAGTTGGTTAGCCAAAAGCTTCAGATGAGGTCCCAAATGGGAGCCTTCAACTTGTTGCTGTCCTGGGAGCCACTCCAACTACTCCCTCTGCAGGCTACTAACTGCCCTGCTCTCCGGACACTTTTAAGCCGCCCAACAAAGCCTATTACAAGTGTGGATCACTGCCTACCACAAGTTTATTTTAGTTTTTTTTTTAGCAAATTTCCCTGTGGGTAGTAGCTATTACCGTAGGTGGCACGGTAAGACCTAGGCCCGGAACCGATTTACTTTTTTCATTTTGATGTCCCCAGAGGCCAAAAACACCATTTGTTCAAATTTATATCCTTATATATAATTCTGTAAGACAAAATTTTTACCAGAAAATTGTGGACGTCTGATAAGTCGCAGTAAAGTGGGAGAGGTCTTAAATTAAAGGTCTTGACCCCAGGGACTCGGGAAAAATAGCTGAATTCCCATAAAGTTACAAACCAGAAAACGAGATATAATGTAAAATATCCACCATAAGAAAAGCATGGGGACTGAAAAGCGTCTGAACAGCGATTCTAATCAGCTGTTACTTACTTATTTGCAATGTTTACATTTATTCCAAAAGTCAATGTTGTTAAATAATGTTTCAAAATGAAATGTATTTGTTTAATTTTTTGTTTTCTGTTTTTATAATAAGTGAAGTAACTAAACAGGGTATGGGAAGACCTGCAAGACGTGGAAGAGTATCCAGGAATTCAACTGACACAAGAAATTCTGAAAGAGAACGTCATGTAAGGCCCAACTATGAAAGAAATCCACAAGCTGGTTTACAACCTGCCTTTAGAACAACCTTCAGAAGAACGTTGGAAAATGAGTTGAGTGTTGTTTCTCACAGTATAGGTCCTCAAAACATTACTTGCATGCATTGTGGCGCATTAGGCCACAAATGGACATGTCAACGCATGTTGCCTCAATGGACTCATTAACATGCCACAACCACAATTAAAAATGTACTTCGAGGAAAAACTAGATGTTACAGGCTGACGTGTTTCTTTTGGAATTAAAGTTGGCACTTCACACTCATTGCCTGTCAATGCATAAGTTGCTGACCTTTTTAGGACTAGACTGTCATCCCATAAGTTGTTTATGATCTCTGTATTCATCTTGAGATATACGACTGTCATCCCAAAAGTGGTTGATGTTCTGTGTATTGACGAACTAAAAGAAATGTTTTTACATGATTCTAACTTCATAAAAAGCATAAGGTAATACAAAAGTGCAATGGCTTTTGCGTCGCTTTCCGTTACACAAAAAGATATTCCGAGAAATGGGCCTTACTGTTTTAAAATTCATGGACAAATTCATAGATATATTTCTGACTTACTACCGCCAAATGGGGAGTTGCCTACAAATGGACAATAATTGTGTCTAAATTAGGGGCTATAGCCCCTACAGGCCACTAGTATATACATATAAATGGATCCGTCGATGGGAACAAGGTTTCACTGGGGGTTTTATGGGCTAAAAATGGGTTTTTCTCATTTTTGACCCTCAAAACACCAAATTTCCCAATTTCTCTCTAGACATTTTTCAAGAGCTTAAAAAAAAAATAATTCAGTATATCAAAGTGTTTCTGTACCGTTATTAGTTACGGATAAAATTTAAAAATGTGATTTTAAAATTCCCATGTTATTCTTATGGAGAATATTGTAAAATGTTGTAGATTGCTTGTTTATGGACATATTTTGATCAAACTAGGCAAATTTATTTATTTTATACTAAGCTATTAAAACTTAACTAAAACACAATTTATTAGTTTAATAGTAGCAGCAAACCTATGTACTCCTTAAACCTAATGTTATTAAAATAGATGTAATTGAAAATCAATTCAGGCAAATGGAAATTTGCTTGGACTAACTTAAAAATAATACAATTCAGTCATGAAAAACATTGATATTTCAATACTTTGGAAAAAACATCGGTAATCTATCATAGATGTAAATACCCCCGCCGCAGCATACCTGCAGTCTAAGCAAATTTCCATTTGCCTGAATTTATTTTCAATTCAATCTATTTAAATAACATTAGGTTTAACGAGTACCTAGGTTTGGTGCTACAAGAAAACTAATAAAGTGTGTTTTTTAGTAAAATATAATTAGCTTAGTATAAAATAAATAAATTTGCCAAGTTTGATCAAAATATATCCATTAACAACCAAACAATTTTACAAAATTCTCCATAAGAATAACATGGGAATTTTAAAATTACAATTTTTTTTAATTTTCTCTGTGACTAATAATAGCCTAAACACTTTGATATAAAAGAATTATTTGTTTTTTAAGCTCTTTAAAAAGGTCTAGAGTGAAATTGGGAAATTTTGTATCTTAAGGGACAATGAGAAAAACCAGAAATTTTTACCCTATAAAACCCCGTTCCTATGGTCCGATCAGCCTGGTTCGCGAACTCATTCAAGTTTATCCCGCATTACACCTTCAAACCAAATTTCGTCTTTATTCATCATTTTTAGAGTCAGTTATTGAATCGGTTGATAGAGGTGAAACAATTGGCATATCCATGGACCCTATCTAAAGCTTTTGATAGTGTAAAACATCCAATATTGTTGAATAAATTGAAATTTCTTGGAATAAAGAAAACTGCATTGCAAAGGTTTGATTCCTATCTAAGTAGTAGAACACAATACTGTATGTTGAAATTACTCAATTAAAAAAATAATAAAATCATTCAAACAGACTCAGAAATTAAAACAATAAAATATGGAGTACCTCAAGGGTCTATTCTAGGGTCATTGCTATTTTTGTGCTATTTAAAGGACATAAGCAGTGCCCTTGTAGACCTAGAAGTGAATTGTGCCTGTATGCTGACGATGCGAATTTAATGTTTCCTCTCCTACACTGGGACAAACAGAAATGTCTGCTTTCCTAGAACTTGGAAATTTGGGCAGTTATCTGGTGTGCCAGAACCTAAAATTAAATTACAAAAAAACAAATTTTATCACATTTAAATTACAACAAAATAAACATTCTAATCCCCCAATAATAATGTAAAACTCACAAATTGAGAAAAAGGCCAGCACAAACTTTTTGGGTCCAACAATAGATCAGAATTTGAACTGGAATGTGCATATAAAAAATAGTTTCAAAAATCAACTCTGGAATTTTTGCCCTTTCAAAAATGTCTCTGTACTGTGATGTCAAAAATTTTAAAAACATTAATTCCCTATCAAACGGTACCAAGTTCAAAAAGATTAAATAAGAAATTCCTGAAATATTACAATTTTTAGTTGTAAAATGGGGCAAACCTTCTTAGCCTCATTGTACCCCATTTTACAAAATAAAGATCGTAATATTTCAGCTATTTCCTATACAATCTTTTTGAACTTGGTACCGTGTGATAGGGAATTAAAAATACTAAATAAAAGGGTTCTTGACATTTTTTCATAAAATACGCTGTTTTTGTGTAATTTAAGTTTAAAAAATTAAAATGGCCGCCATTTTTAAATTCTAAGTTGAATCAAGATGATATTTTTTCTAACATTGGTCTCTTTTACCTTCACCTACATACCAGGTTTTATAAAGATTGGTTGAAAAATTCCAAAAATAAAAATGTTTATGTAAAAAATACAAAATGGCGGATATCTGGTTAACGAAGCGATTTTGGAAAAAATGTTATTCTTGTTTTTCTCTTTATTTTGATCCAAGGAATCACTACGTAAATTATTTGAATGAATGGTGTTTTTGATCTTTGGGAACGTCAAAATGAAAAAGCAAATCGGTCCCGGGCCTAGGTCTTACTGTGCCACCTATGGTAATAGCTACTTCCATAAAGGGAAATTCGCTAGAAACATCAAACATCAATAGAAAAACATCGAAGTTTCAAAAACATCGACTATTGACGCTCATCCATAGTTGGATATCGTGAGGTCATGCCGAGGTCGGATACAAGGGGTTCTACTTTACATTGAGTTCCAGTGGTAGAAAATGAACTTGAATTGTTTAAAGACTAGATTTTAAAACTTACCAATAGCAATATTAGCAGTCATGTTGTAGTCATAATCAAACTGGCCTAATATCAGGTATCCTGCGTGGTTGATGAAAAATGATATAGAGACCAAAGTAAACAGTACAGATATAGCACCACGTACTCCAATCAGCAATCTGTAATCAAAAGAAAGCTATGACATACATTTCACATTTAGTAGTTTGTAGTCTTACCTGGTAATCAATCAGTTATAGATTCAATCTTCGAAAAGTTGGTGGCTTTTGGAAGGTTTGAGATATGGCCAAGCTTATTTTTCAATCAGCATACACTTGATTTCTAGATTCTTTATAGATTCAATTTCTACTCCCAACAGGGAAGTCATGCTTCTTATCTTTTTTACATCAATCATGCGACAATCCAAAAAGAGTACACGCTGTGTAAAATTAACTTACAGCATGATTACAAAATGACTGACCTCATGATCATCCCATAGAAAGAGTAGAAGACCATGCCAAATGCTGAGAGATAGTCCATGAGCTCAGTGAGAGGCAAGTCTCTAGCATGGAAGATGGCTGACCAGACCCAACAGTTGATACAAACCTGGCACAAGACCAATCAGTCAGGACAACTCATCTGAGGAGGATGGTTCTGACACACAAGCTAGACTAGTAAAGATGGGGGATAAAAGAAAAGATAATTTTAAATCATTGAAATTCCATAAAAAATAGGCTAGTGAATGTGGTTGGTTGATCTGACAATCTTTGGTGGCAAGTAAGGAGTTGTCTACAGGCATTGAAGAACAACCTAATTTTATGTTGGAGGAGGTCTCTGAAGCCACTGTCTAAGACCTAATCGCCTTGACGTCTGGATTTGTTTTATAAATCTCTAACTTTAACTTAGCCTATATCAATTTGTTTATTTAATTTATTTACACACCCAATATTAAGATTGTATTATTTATTCCCTTAATATCAATATTGTTTTTGTATAAAACTCAAAATCACTTGTAAATTAACCAGGTAGTTTTATGGTTTTAGCTTATTAAATAATCTGACGGCAATGTAATAACCAGTCCTGCAGTATTATATGATAGGGAAGCCGGGGTAATAAGAGACATGAGGGGTAATAAGAGATAAAAAAAATTATACTAAAGGTATAAAGGGTATGATTAATTTAAAATAATTATATGTTGTTGTACTAAATAAACGGAAAATTCTGATAATATATTCAATAATATTAACCGTCATTTTTATGTAAAAAAAATATTGAATTTTTTGCTTACCCCACTGTCTTTTATTACCCCGGTCGGGGTATTAAGAGACAAGGCTTTTGCTACCCATATGCAACCAATGAAAAATATGAGGGGGTAATAAGAAACAAGTCCAGAAAATTCTAAAAATTTTAATCTTTGTTTCATTTAAATACATAAATTGGTTCCCAAGATATAAACGTTTGAAAAACAAAACCTAAAAGGTGATCGGTAAAATTTGTTTTGATTAATATTAAATAAAAGTAAAGCACTAGAACCATGGGGTTGGAGTTTTTAAAATCTACATATAGTATACGTTTAAAAAAATACATCAAAATAAAAAATAATATTTCCATTACTTGTTGGAGGACATTTTGTAAATTCGTTAAAAAATGTGTCAAAGTCTACGACTAAGAAAAAATGCCCTATGACTAAATACATCTGGGCCAACTGAATGGATACTTAGTGAGTTATAAATGATGGTAATAGTAGAAAGGACTTATAAAAAGATGTTTAAAGCCTTAAAAAGATGAAATTTATCTAAAAAATATATAAAAATGAATATTTAAATTTGTGTGTTAGCAACGCTAAATTAATAACATTAAAACAACTCATTAGTCCCAGGCGAATGATAAAATGATAGTATTTTACCTAGGCCTATAGCATTTAGTCATGAGGTAAGTTTCCTTATTAAACCTTTCTAGTCCCTAGTTGTAAAGTCCTTTCTTCACTTTTTTGTAGACCAGTCTAATTTTATTTTGTTGTCCTCTCGAAATGGTAAACGGCCCATTTCCATGTAATTGAATTGGACCGTAGAACACAAACTTGTTTGATACAGTTTGAATGTCATCATGTACTGGCCACTTGAAGTTGTGTAGCACCTTCTGGAGGAATTTTACTTTGGACAGTCCTTTGTCTGGGAAGTCAATTACTCTTCCGACATGCCAGTCAAGATCGTAGTATACCGCATAATACATTTCAAGGAGGGGGTCAATGTTGGTTGGCTCAATTTCCTCAGGAAGACTTTCATCAGATGATGACAGTATGGGAGAAATGCCTCCTTCATCAGAATCCAAGCAAAGATTTGTATTGGCATCCGTATCCGAGGAATCACTCTCTTTAGGTTTGGCTATTTTGCCGTCTCTTATTACCCCTCAATATTTTCAAAAAGGGGTAATAAGAGACATGGTCAAAATTCACCTTAAATTACATCTTGCAACAATTTAAAAAATTGATCAATATTCTCCATCATCTTGGCCACAAAATAACACATAACTGATGTCTCAATCTCTATCTCAAATTTTACAAGAAAATTTAATTTGGAAAAAGTCACAAATTTACGCAGTAAGTTCATTGAACCGCAGGGGGCTCACGCTTGCGTGGGTTCGTGGCCTGGGCGACCACGCGGACCCTAGCTCTCCCAGAGGGGAGGTAACTGCCCGGTGTCAGACCCGGCACTTCAGGTAGACCACAGTTATGGACGACTGGTAAGCGCCAGCCCCTTAGGGGGAGCCTCCAGTGACATTCCCTCCATTCAGGGTGGGGGGGGTGTTTAGCTCTCAGTGACGCCGTTAATTCCGCCTCTCCTCAACTACCTGTAACTGTGGTTGTGACTGAGTCCTACCTGTTGTGTTCGACTGACATTTTGTGAGGCATATCCTCGACTTTGGAAGTAGCCTCGTCCTGGGAGGTGAAATACCTAGCCCCCAGAGGGGAGGTAAATGCTCCGTGTTGGTATCGGCATTTCAAGTTGGCCACAGACATGGTCGACTGGGCATCGGGTCCCAGTGACATTCCTTTATCCAGGATGGAGGGGTGTTTAGCTCTAGGAGAGATGGAAGTACATCATAATCTCTAACCTACCTGTGTCTGTGGTACTTTGGGCTTCGGCCTGCTTGTGGTGTGCGACCAGCATTCAGTGGGCAAATCCTCGACTTTGGAAGTAACCTTTCCTGGAGGTGAAAACGGGCAAGTACCCGCAGCTCACGGGGACACTCAAGGGCAACGTAACTTTCCGCAGTGTGAGGGCAACGGTTTGTAGGTACTTATGCAAACCTATCCCTGTCTCTGAGCACGGACGGTATGGTTATCTTGAGTGTGGGGGGTTCTTCCCGGAACCTCAATTGAGTCAAGGGTGTCGCCACCTCTGGTGGATAGGTTCATCCGGGTGGGTCCCACTTCTATACCTGCCTCCTTTTGGGAAACCCTGATGGCCTGGCAGTGATGTTGGGTCTGACGGGCAAACGAAGTAGATCGGGTGCTGGGTCCGAGCCCGCCAGGGGTATCTGGGGATCTATCGCTCTGGATATCTCTGGTTCCCAGCAATGGGTCAGGCCTCGATCGGGCAGCGGTGTAAATGGGAGGTTGGGGTTCCCCCCGTCAGCGTGCTGATGGTCCCCTTCCTCCTGGCTATTGATGGCGGGTTCTGCCTGTCAGGGATGAGATAGGTCCCGAGTGTTGCTTGCACTAAATGCGTCGGGGCGCTCTACTATGGACCTCTAGGTTCCGACCTAGTGGAACCCAGGTGGAGTGACGCTTAAACAAGCAGCCGGAATCCCTGGTTAGGATTGAGGGGCAACCCTCTTTCCGAAGGGTCTGCTTCGGCAGCCGGCGAGCCTGATGACCTTAAGTCATCCGCCCATGATGTGCTAAAGGTTGATGCGTAAGCTTCGGCCTACATCATGGGGCCCGGGTATGTCCTGTAGGATAGGTACCGGGTAAGCAGTCAGGGGGCTTCGGCTCTCATGACAACAAATCTAAATCTAAATCTAAAATCTAAAAGTAAGTTCATTGGTAAGGCATTTTCCAAAGGTTCGGAAAAAATTTTTTAACAGTAATATTAGATACGTAAGTGTGTGGTAAGGAAGATAAAATGTTTAAAATGTCTATGGGTATTTTCTGATAATTTTAACATAATGTTTAAGTGGTTTTTTGCACTGTCTATTATAACCCCTGTCTCTTATTACCCCGGCTTCCACTACTACTAATACTACATAATAATTACTGGTCATATAATGTACACAGTTGATAGTTAGAAAGCCCCCCCCCCCCCCAAACCAAAAGACAGGATGCGCCCCTAAAACATAAAAACATCCCGGGTAAATCCATAGGCTACTTATATACTTATGTACAGTAAAAACTTAAATACAGGGTGTTGATTAGCTTAGACCTACAAACATTTGGGGAATTTTCAACTATTTTGTTGACTAAAATTGTTATAGTTTGTCCATTTGGCTATGATACCCAGCGGATTAGGAACCTTCTCGAAACTCAACTCACCATCTCGCACCATCACAGCTCACCAGTGACAAAAAATGAATCACCTACTGTCACAGTCCCACAGATCTGCTATTTTTTTTTATTTTAAGTTAAAATAAATTGTTCTGTATAAATTTGAGTTATACATAAAATTAAAAAAATAATAAGTCTAAACACGATGTGTATACTTAATATCTACGATCTGTAAGGCGGACAAAGCTGGTGACAATACAGAGTAATGTTTTGGACATTGGTACGGTCGTTGTACATATACTCTGGCTGTTTTTAAATATTTGTAGTAAGGGAACATTAAAAATCAAAAGTCTCTTTAAAACGGAATTTGGGGGTAAATTATATAGTAATGTTATTAAATAATATTATTAATATTATTAAGTTACCATTTGAAATGATAGTTGTTAACACAACAACTGATTATATTATAAGCAATGTAGCTTGATGTATTTCGTTGTATTATGTAAAAACAGTGTACCTTCTATATAATGTGGTATATTATTGTCTTCGTATAATCAAACAATAACGATTTAATGATACGTAACTCAAATTAGTAGGGATTTCAATTCCTCGAAAAGTTATAAAAATCAGATTAATTTTCTTGTTTTAAGTTACTATGAAAAGTTGAGTCACAGAAAATATAAATCAAATATATAATAAAAAAGTAGCAGATCTGTAGAATAGTGACAGTAGGCCTAGGTGATTCATTGTTTGTCACCGGCCAGCCCGGCGAGCGGGTCGAGAGGGTGAGTTGAGTTCCGAGAAGGTTCCTAATCTGCTGGGTATCATAGCCAAACAGACTATAAACAGACGGACTATAACCTCAGACGGAGTAACCTCAGAGTTTACAGGTGTTATTTTATACTAGGAGGGAACTCATCTTGGGCTTTTTAAGTTTATTTACTACCGCTGTTTTTTCAGGTAGGTAGGAAATAGTTTTGCTAATTTGTGTTTACAGATTGGCTGTTTTGGGTTGTGTTGGGTCCCTCACCTTAAATACCTACTTGAAAATCAATTTAATAATAAAAACAATAGGCCTATATCTGAATTTCCAGATATGACATTTACAGAGAATGACCAGCTAGTCACAAATCATACACAGTGTAATTCTGATTCAATATTTTCCCAAAAATGTGGGGATATAGTAACCATAACAGTATTGTGATTTGTGAGTACCGTAGCCTACATACAAGCATTTTTTAAGAAGCTGTCCTCTTTTGATTTTGCATTTGCCCGCCCACAATAAGCCTGTGCATTATAACCTGTGCCTGGAATGAGTCAAACAAAGCAAGGGGTTTGCTGGCACAGTGCAAAAGTAAACTGTACTGTTAAATACCAGTAGTGGCAACAACAAGACGTGAAACCACCATTGCTGCCTGGGATTCGTAGTCCATCACGCAACCAACTGAGCCACTAACTCACCAATAGGCCTACATAATAGACATGTCAATACTACTTACAAATTATATTCCATTTTTCATTGGGCTACCAGTTAATAATGTTAGGCTTTCTAACAAAAGGTCAACATTAGATAGTGAAAAGATAACAGAGTGTGGACTGTTACCTTATAAAAAAACAGCCAAAAATTACAATGGAATGGAAAAAAAATAAAAAAACAAATTGAACATTAGAAATCAATGCTACTCACCCCTGCATAGAGAAACCAGACTTTATACATCGGACTTGAAGGTCTGACTTCACTGCGGAACTTGCGGAACATGAATATGTGTGCAGCCAGATTAAGCAGAGAAAAAACCACCGACGCTGGCTCCTGGAGACCCATCCATCGGACAAATGGCCACTGAGAATAACACATACAGACTTCTCATTAAAATAAAAATAATATTGTTACCACAGTGAGAAAATTCCAGTGAAATTGTGTATTTCAGGCCAAGATGCTTTTACATTATAGGTTCAAATTAGCCAATAAATGGGAAGTAGGGCATATTTTTTACTAGTAAAAATAATAGGGCAAAAAATTGATGATTGGTCAAAAACATACTTGTCGCTAAGTGAAAGTTGGGCTTAATGACTGTAGGCTGTAGGCCTAAAAAGTTGATAATCACCAATTGAATTTACTAGACTGGGACGGGTGGCGTCGTCTTGTAATTCAGCTACTAGGAGGTCACGAATTGTGGATATTTATAGGCATGCGTGGATTAACGTCCGCACGGGTGATTACTACGACTATCCGCAGTACTATCCTGATAATTAGACCAATTCGTATATACCAAGGAAAAAAGTGGTTCGGATTCCACCATAAACTGTAGGTCCCTTAGTCGCCATTAGCTGTATGGGCTATTAATTAACAGCTGTGTCTAAGGAATATGTCGGCCTTAGTCACTAACAAGACTACAAGACCGTGCCACTCATCATACACTCATCTCCATTCATACTTGGCTTAAAATACCTACTTTGTATGGTCACCATTTCAAAGAAAAAGTATTAAAAAAAAAGTATTTTGTATCCTTAAAAAAATGTCCCTCCTTCATTTTACCTTTCCATGAAACTGTGGAGGAGGCCATCCTTTTCTTTCAAAGTTATCAACAATTGACCACATGCACCTGTACTTGCAATCATCAGCACAACGCCAATCCAAAAATCCAGTCCAAACAAATCCTTTCTCCGGTTGTTTGAAAAAATACCCATCTATAACACAATACCAAAACACTTTTACTGTAAGCCACTGAACCTCAAAAAACCTCAAAATTATTTTCAGTAGCCTAATTTAAGTTTTTTAAATATTTTAATATTCCATGTAATTAAGTTAAAAAGTCTTACTTTTCAAACAACACATTTCAAGGCTTGCACAAGGCTTTTTTTAAATACACAGATATGTAGCAATAACATAATTAGACACTGTGTCCTATCAATAACAATAATCGGTACATTCCTGTTAAAGGGAACATTCATTATTATCGATGATTTTCTTCTCGATATATCGATATTAACAAATTGAAACATATCAGCTGACAACTACGATAAATATTGTTCAGTGTCAACAAACAATAATGAAATGAAACTTTTTTTAAAAAATAACCTAACATAACTAACCAAACCTGCTGTAACATTTAAAAATTCTTTGTTTAACTTGCCTTTTCTATTATCAAACCCAAACGTAGTTTTTAAATGGTACAGCAAGTTTGGTTGGTTATGTTGTTAGCTTAGAACAGTTTCATTTCTCAATCCATATAAGGTAATAGACTATTTTAGCCTAAACAAGATCAGTTAGTTGTTATCAATTTGTAATGGATCGGAAAACAAAAATATTGATCTATCAAAAAAATCATTGATAATAATGAATGTTCCTTTTAACAGGAAAGTACCCAATAAGTTAATCTTACTAGGCCTGTTGGTCAAAATCCGTTATGTGCCCACAACTCCAAAACTTGTTAATATCAACATTAATGTGTACAAAACGTAGTTTTTCAATGGCAGAGCACTTTAGAATGGAATCATTTCCAGGTAAGTATTTACAACAACATTGTTGTCGGTCTTATCTAATCTGTCTGGGCTGGGAGATATGAAGGTTCGCTGTAGTGTCACCAGCAGCAGTCCGAGGTAATGAATCACTGTTGACTTTGTCGCAACAATGAGATAGGCTACTTAGCCTAATTTTAGTTCAGATACTCAAAAACTTATTTTAAACTGTTCGAGGAGTTAGGTTGGGGGTTATTTTTTTAGTTTTAACAACTTTAAGGATTCTTTTGAGATTCAATGAAAACTATACTGTACCTAGTTAAGTTAACTAAACTTATCAAACCAATTAACTAGGTTCATGGTACTGTAAGTTACCTGCATTAAAAGATGTTAGGTAACTGACTATTCTAGTTGGTATTTACAACAGTAAAATATATAAAAAAAACCATCCACAATGTAGTAAAACCCCACTGCTCCAGCAATGGTTTAAGTATTTTCTACATTAAGTTAAATGAACAGAGTTTGTGTGCAATCAGCAGAATTCACAGGCAACTTAGCAGAGGTTGGGTGTAAGACAAAAAATTGCCTGATAGCTTTCCTTTCAGCCTTACGACTTTATATATTTATGTTTTCCACTACCCTCGCAATTACGGCTAGGCTATCTATAAGACGGTACATTTTACGTAGCCTACCTAACTTAAACACCACAGCCAAAGACCCAAAAATGCCAGATTAGCAAGTCTTTATTTATTTATTTCATATGGAAACACCATTATACAATAATATACATTGGCAGATTGCACTGTTTTGCATAAAAATATAATAACAATAATGAAATGATTGGAAAAAATGCACTAGGCCTATACAATAATAACAAGAATAGCAATAACAAACGTACAAGAATCAACAAGAACAATGAGGTGAAAGTTTAACCAGGTACTTATGCAAATACAAGAAGTGATTTGGAAACAGATTAATTTAAAATGGTAGGCCTAATATGTAACAACAATGGATGGAGTATCAAAATATAAATAACAGCATATAAATAACGTCTTAGCTCATCATAGCTCAGTAAACTTATATTAGTTTACGTTACTTTTATTAAAATGCTTCAAAAAATAGCACTGGTCTAACGAAGCTGAAAAAGCCTACCGGTAAGTTACTGCTAAATTAGGCCTATTAGGCAACATGACATGATGTTGGCTGCCACATTCAGATAAAAGCTTGGCCTAAGCTACAGAGAGGAGAATCACTCTCATTAGCCTTAAGTTTCTAATTGTAGAATGTTCATTTAGACTTAAGCTACATAGGGCCTAGGTCGGTAGATTTAAAGTTTTAAGCCTAGCCTCGAAGAAGATAGCATAACTTATTGTAACTATTGTACAATTAAATGAGTCACTAATAGATCTTATATAAAGTAGTCGAGTTACCTTTTTCGCAGTATTCTAATCTGCAAGTGTCTACACAGGATTTATAAGAAGGAAAACTATCCCCTAGAGAAGCTTTAACTTTACCACCCTGGTTTATTATAATAATAAATGCCAATGACACTATTCTGTTCATTTTGCATATTTATTGCAGACTAATATATCACTTCATTTTGTTGAAACTATTGTGATACTCTGGAACATGATTCATTATTATAAATAATAAGAGTATTTTTTATAGTGAATTAACTTGAAATAGGCAGGAAATAAAGCTCAATTTGCTCAAAAAACTAAACTTATGATTACGAACTGTATTGTATTGTGTATTGGCAATTGAATCAGCTGATAAGCCAAACAAAACAAAGCTAAAGCAGACGGCATCAAACCTCAAAGAGTGTGTAAATGCAGGCTGACCACATTTATATCATTTAAACAGTTTATAACTTACTCGACCTGCAACATATATAATAAAATAGTCAAAGTATTATATTTGGTCTTTGTTGGAAATTATATTCACAAAAATCACATAATTGCCTTCAGAGATTTGATGTGTTTCATTCCGGTAACGCTTAGTAATAACGTAATAATAACGCTAACGACGGCTTTTCTCCACAGAAAAGTAAAGGCCAAGTCACACCGAGCTCGCTCCCGCGGCGGGAGCGAATTTTGAAAAATCGCTCACCATGTTATCAAATGTGCCAAGTCACACCGCACTACCGCGCGCCCGCGGGCGTGCGGTAGTGTCCGCCACGTCCGCCTCCTGAGCGATTTATTGAGACTACCGCGGCGGGAGTTTTGTCTAGCACATGCGCAAAGGGGCATTTCGAATGCCCAAGCTATTTAATGTTTAAAATTAATACAGTTTAATACAGTTTTAAATTAAATTTAACATGTTTTTTTTTGTTTGATGATGTAGTCTATGTTGTTTTGTATTATCTTCGTAATTATGATTATCGCCAGAAAAAAATCATTTTTGTTTACCATTCAAAAACAATGTTTACGGTGAAAATAATAATGTTTCCCATAAACATTTTGATATTGCCGACGTTAAAAATTTTTTTTATTGGTTCATCAACTTTTTCGATTTGCAACAACAAAAACCTTTACAATCAATGTTAACTTGAACTTTCAATAGAAACGCTTAGCAAAAAATAACATTTGTTTTAAAATGGTCATATGTTTTATTTACAAAGTAAAAAGTCTTTGTAGTGTAGCGAAAAAAAAACGTTCAAAAGCTGAAAGTGGATAATTTATCCACAACCATATTTAAAATGCTTCGAACACAAGGTCTAAATTAAATAAAAAAAAAATAGTTATTCACTTTTTAAAGTAGCCCTACACTAACAAATTAATAAAGATTCAATTGCTTCTTAAACACTTTACTTAAAACCTGCAAATTCACATGGCATACTAAACAGATAAGATGAGTTTCTTATGTAAAACGATTGTAATGAACTCATCTCAAAACTCCCGCCGCGGACGCGAACTTTTGGTGTGACATGGCTCGAGGAAAAACATCCGCGCGCGGTACTCCCGCGGCGGGAGCGGCAGATGTCGGTGTGTCATGGACTTAAGGTGCGGAAGAAACACGTTTATGGGACAACCGTGCGCAATTCAGCTCTGACATGTTGGGGTGGAAATATACTGTCTTGTGAAAAGCAGAAGCAAGGAAGAGCCTGACTGCAGGTGGTACCTACCGTGCGGAAATTCCTATCGTACATGGTACAGAATCTTCCTCAATTGTAAAAGTTCCTCCACCGTGAGCATAGCACCGTGTTCTCTCCCAAATCAACAGTAGTATCATCCCTGAACAACATGCGGTCGCTCATCCTCTACAAACCTTTTAGAGTTTTAAGATTACATTATGTCAGCATTTAATAAGTCTTCCCAAGTGGACTGCATATATACTTTGACTTCAGTAAAGACTTTGATAAGGTTAACCATCGCTTACTTTTGGCAAAATCGGAGGCCTACGGTATCTGTGGATCATCACTGTTGTGGCTAAAAAGTTAAAAAAGTTAAGTGACCGAGAACTCATCGTCAAGTGTAATGGAGGCTTTTCTTACCCGTTTCATGTTCCATCTGGGGTGCCCCAGGGATCACTCTTGGACCCTTTGTTGTTTGATATTTTTATAAATGACATAAGCAAGACATTATTATCTGATTATCTTCTTTTAGCTGATGATATCAAGGTATTTGCAGAGATGACATGCTCACAATACCCAGGACAAACTCCAATCATTTCTAGACAAGATTAGTAAATGGTGCGATGAAATCGCTGGAGCTGAATGTTGCTAAGTGTCTCGTCATTTCTTTCAGTCGCAGTACCATAGATAAAACAGCTCATGTTTTATCTATGATAGTACAGCCTTACAACTACAGCATAAACGGTGTCAGACTAAAAGTGGTTGATAGGGCCAGAGATTTGGGTGTCATAACTACCCCTATACCCTCAGTCCCTATGAGCATATTAGCCAAATATCTACAACGGCTTACTTCTTGGCTTCGTATTTCGTAACAAAGGACCTCAAGAACCCTTTAACACTTATTCCCCTCTACAAGACTTTTGGTGCGTCCCGTGATGGAATACTGATGCTGTATTGACTGTTCTCCATATCAGTCATCTTGGCACATTAACTGCTTGATAACATTTCAGGGAAGATTTATTAGACTGTCAGGACTTAGACTGGGGTACTGCTTTCAGGATGTCCCTATTACCACACTGGAGAAATATTACGATTAGCAACCACTCAGTGTGAGAAGGAGATACTGTATTACGATCTGCAGTTCCTCTTCAAACTTGTGAATCGCCTCATCGACTGTACATCTTTGCTGAATAATGTGGATTTTCCGTCCCTAGAGGAACGAGATCCAAAACCTTATTCGCAAGAGAGTTTTAAGCAAGAAACTACTCCTACCATCGTGGGATATCCAGGTTTGCTGAGGGCTGGTGGAGAGGCTTCGACTTCCATCAACTTCTTTGGACTCTCTTCTTCCTCGTTCAAGATAGACACCTTCAAATACTTACTCGAGGGAACACCTTAACAGCATCTTCCTGCCTTCCTGTGGAAACAAGTCTAGTGATGTGCAGTGCTTAAGTGCCTAAGTGGTGCTTTTTAAGTGCCACTTCTGTTCTTTATTGTATGGGTGTCTGGTGTTACCTCAAAGGAATGCAGTGCAGGCTAAAGCTAGGTGGTGCCTTTAAGGGCCACACATGAAAGTTAGTGTTCCAGCATGGTGTACCTGCGGTGTTGATACAGCGTCTTGCCCAAGTCATATTATATGCACACATACCCACACACAAAATGTCATGCTAGTCATCGCTAGTCATCCTTTGCATCGCTAACTTTAAGTAATCTCTGTCATCTTGTTAATTTAGTTTAGTACCAAACTGTATTAAATGGAGAAACCGTTGGGATCGATAGATAAATAAATAAATAAATTAGTACGTGTCGGCGAGGGGGGATGTGCCATATTTCTGGACATTTAATCAGTGTTGACTAAACTAAAATGCATAAATATTGAGGGATAGCATTAATACACACATTACATACATTGTACACCCTGAAACAAAGCTACTTAATAATCAATTAGGCCTGTATGCTATGTATAAGCTGAAACGCGGTCGTCCACCGAAAATACTTTAGAATAATTTTAGAAAAAATTAAAACCCCATTTATTTTGATACTTCTTTTTCTTCATGTTTTACTTCTTATTTTGAGTGTTTAGTCTTCACGTACAGTAAAGCTAAAGGCTGTTAATTAATATTTTAATACTTTTAAATGAAATGGTGAATGGCGACCATACGAAGAACGAAGGTAGGATTGATTAACTTCATATCAAGTAATCAAGTAATACATCTTGGGTTGAGCCAGTAGTCTACCTGCATGAAGATGAGTTTAGGATGGGTGGCACGAGCTTGTAGATTTGTTACTGACTAATGTCAATATGTTCCTTAGACAGGACTGTTAATTAACTCATAGTCCATACAGCCAATAGCAACTAAAAGATACCTGCAGTTTATATTGGCATCCGAACCATATTATTTGCCTTGTAATTTTACGAATTGGTCTAATTATCAGGATACCGTAGTACTGCGGATGGTCGTAGTGCTCGTTACTAGTGCGGACGTTAATCCTCACCAGGGAGTATCGCATCCACAGATATGCCTATGAATATCCACAATTCGTGACCTCCAAGAAGATGGGTTACAGGACGACGCCACGGTCCCAGTATTGAGGCCAAACAGTGGTTATGTGGTTAACAGTATACGTTTTTTCTTACTTTGTACTTTTCATGAAAATATAGACCTACGTCGATTCAATTTTAAATTATTAACTAAAAACTTATTAGTTGCAGAAACGAATAAAAGCATGATTAAATATACAAAATAAATTCTGATCATAAGATAAAATCGATACCCCCACCACAGCAAGCGTGCAGGCTAAGCGAATTTTCATTTACCAGGCTGAATTTCTACTAAATTTTCCCTAAAAATTGTCAGATTTATTTCCTATTCCATAAGGATAACATGGTAGTTTTATGTTTACAGTCTTTTAATTATCTCAGTAAACGTTGGGCATACAACAATGGTTCAATACCACCAAATTATTTCTTTTTAAGCTCTACAAAGTTGTTTGAATCAAAATTATAAAACTTTGTGTTTTTAGGGCCAAATGTGGAAAAAACATATTTTTAACCATATAAAATTCCCAATAAACCCCTGTTCCCGTAGTCAAATTATGCCGGGTATATGGAAAATTCGTTAAAACACCTTAAATTCCAACTTTAGTTGTAAAATAAAATTTAAATTCTTCACCATTTGACTTCTACACACTAAAACTTATAACAAAAAAAATGCTTTAACTTTACTTCATACATTATGAATTACGAATTGGTTTGCAAGAGTATTTGTGGCCTGTTACATATCATTGTGTTTATTAAATGTAGTATAGTTTTAAAGGTTTAGATTATAGTTTGTGTGTTTGTTTCAAAATGTATACAGGACCAAAGAATCATAACTTCTGTTTACATAAACAAAGTCAACTATATTACTATTTGAATAGATTACAAAAGAGTCTGCAAATAAATTACATTGACCAAAAAGTCCTGTCAGAGTATACTAATGAGTTACCATGAACAAAGCTCGGCCCCCAGAGACTAATACAAAAGGAAGAAATAAAATCAATACAACAGGTAGTTGAAATTTAATTTTTGTTAAATGCTTTCTAACTCATTGACTTGAATAGTATTAAACTAAATGTTGTAGGCACTTTGTTGAGGAAAAGGGGAAAATCACGTGGAAGTAAAACAAAACTTAACACTGTACACCGTACAGTAAAGTTATTCACAGGTCTAGGAATGCAGTTTTAATTAAATTCTATTCATTATACATATAGATTTCTTACGCTTGTTATCTATTACGGTATAAGTGTGATAAAGCCATCAACGCTAAAATAAAATATTGCGTAAAACATACACTTATAAAAAACACTTTTACTTTACACATCATATAACAGAATTGCGATTAGGTTTATATATTTTATTTATGTGAGTGTGTTGGATAGCACAATATTTTTCACAGAATTTACTTTTGGTTATTTACCGCTATATTCCACATGTAGACTACAATGAGTATTATAGATTGTTTAAAATTTAAACTAGGTATAGACTGGATCAAAAGTTATGCCTCTTAAGTTTAAATGTTAGTCAAGTTAAATGCTACAAATAAATAAACTACTGTTTCCAACTAAATACTTCGAAAATAAATAACATAACCGTATCAACTATACAATTTTATAATACATATAATTTATAGTAATTTAATATCTTCGGTATTCAGGAACAATCTGAAACAAATACAACATGTTACAATTAATTATTTATTAAAATAAATAACTCTCTATATGTTTTACACTAATGCTATTTAGCTATCCATAATTATCTTCTTTTCGTTACTAGCCTACCAGCAGACCCTTGATCTGCTGTACGGCACGCGGCCGGGCGGCGCGGCAGTGGTGAATTGTCAATGTAATCTGTTCGAGGAGTATCGTTCTTTACGTGTATCGTTGTATGTGGCCCTGCCTTCTGAAAGACTGAGGGACGTTGCCTTCATTTCGATCTTATCTGGTTTGGAATAAAAATATATAAAGTTATCATTAGCTTCCTAGATTATAATTTATATGTAGAATTAAAGGTTCGAATTTCAAACTAGTTTTATTTTGAGGTAACGTTGAATATTTTAACTGAATTTATTATCTCTATTCGTTTTACCAATAGGACTACGATAAGGAACTAAGATAAGAACTAATAACATTTAAGTCGAATCCTTCCACGCGTTTTTAGTTAGCTTGGTAAAGTTCGTACATGTTCTAGACTTTGCCACTACTTTACTTGCCTATCGGCCCATAGGCTTCTGTCCTCTATAGGCTGCCGAGTGCTGGTCGACGGCCGCACCATAGCTGTTCCATCCTCCACTCTCATAGCCACCTTGGTAACCATGGTTAACGCCACCACCACCGACGTGTGTCTTCGTGAGGCTGTTTTCATGGAGTTTCACCTATGCACAAACACTCACAATTACAAATACCAAGTAGCGGGTATCGAAATATATTTTAAATATTTTTTATATAATTTGTGGGAGGAGGGACACCAAACAACCATGAGGTAACAAGTCTTGTTAGATAGGGCAATCTTTCAGTATCCAGTAGAAAAGTTCCCAAAAAAGAGAGCAAAAATATAAATACTTTTACATTGTTTTAAATGCGGTAGGTTTAATTTGCTAAAAGCTGTGTGGTTTAGATTCATTGGCTTTAATGGTATACAGTTATTTATGTATTGTACCGTTAAAAATAAATTTATCAATAATTATCTCCTTATATTATAATAAAACATGACAGGGTTTTTATCAACGATTCTGAATCAATCACTTGTCTGATTTTTATGACTTTGCGTCGAAAGAAAGGTAATTTTAAAAGGAAGGGAATGTCGAAGCCATAATGTTAGTTTAGGGTTTCCGTTTTTTAGGAATTAGGCTTGTAATTTGTTTAAGGCTAGTAGCTGACGCACAATTTCAGTGTTGGTTTAACCATGGGTTTAACCTTTGACTATTAATACAATAGTATTATGTAGTAGATTGCATGATACAATAGTATTAGTATGACTTCAGTATCCAATAGTCAATGGTTTAACTAACAGCTGGTTCCAAGCCGTCATTGAAATGTTTTTAGGGGTGTTTTCCAAAATTAAAAGGTAAAAATGGACAGGCTATGCGTGGTGGAGAGAAGATCGATCAACTTTTAAAAGTGTACCACAAGGTAGACGACGTCTTGGAAGACCAAGAATTAAGTGGAAAGACCAAGTAATGAAAGACATCTTCAGACTGGAATCAAAATTACAAGAGGCAGGGGATATAAGAGAATGTGAGGCAAAAATCCCCTGATGGATTTAGTGACCACGGAGGTAAGATAAGGTACGGTAAGTGATAGTTAGTCCTGAAAACCAGTGTGTATGAATCGAACACCAATCATACTTCAAGGCTTTTAAAATCGACACAATTCCTTTTTTTATTGTAAAATTATTGGATTCAAACTGCACTTCTCATAGGCCTATAATCGGTTTAAAGTAATGGGTGAATGGGTGGTCACGTGAAATTTTGTATACAAGATGATTTTCTATATCAAAACTGCCAGAATTTGTCTTTATGCTTGTAGACTAGGTGTTCTGGACTATATTCAGTGTTAACTGACAACTCGATTACTGTACGTAGGATGGGCCAACAGCTCGTACTTATTTACATACAAATTTATATCCTGTATAAGTTGACCATGGCTTGTGGCCTTACCTCAGTCCGCGAAATGACGTGTTGTGATGTCAGCAACTTCCACAGCAGCAATACCCCACTCAGCACTAGTGCTAACGAACTCTTCAGCAGCGCCAATTTTGCTATCAGCGCTATCACGAAGTATACCAGGACGGACACTTCGTACTGCATCTTCAGCAGCATCAGCAGGAACGGCAGCAGCTTCTTCAACTTCTTGCCCCTGCCTGTAACAAGACTGACTTCAACATCACACCCTCTATCAGCAGCTGCTTCACCTCGGCTCTCAAGTGACTAGACCATCAGATAGAACTATCATTTTATTAACACCCGACTTCATGCTGGAATCTCCCAAAGATCCACCATCAGCCCCCTTCTTTACATTTTGTACGTCCGGGACCTTCCGTCCCCAGTCCCAATAGACCCCACTGAAACATCCTGTGGTCTTACTTAGTTCGCTGACGACACCGCCTTCTGGACCTCCCACCGACGCAATGTCACCCTCATCTTACTGACAAAACCCACTCTCCTAAACTACCTTTCCTATCGTCTACTTTCACGTATCACCATCAACGCCACCAAAACTTAATTCTGTGTTTTTTACAACTTCATCGTCTGACGATTTTGCCGAATCAAGTCTGCCCCCATCCACGTTAACAACGCCAGCCGGACTCTGAAGAAGTCCTTCACGTTTGGAGCCAAGCTTGACGTTAAACCCTTTGTTTCACACCTCTGAGACTAAGGTACGTCGAGAGTGCACGCCAATTCAGATTCAGAATCAGATTAAGATTTTCGGCGAACGGTGTGTGGTTAAATCGTTGGGTTAACCTGAGTCAGATATGCTGTTAGTGGCCACAGTGGAATTGGGAATATGCCGGTGGTACTGACTCGGTGGGACAAGTCAAAACAAAAAGACCAATTTACTTTTTCTTTTGTCCCTTTTGGTTAATTGGATAGCACTGTGGTGATAACTAATGCACTAACTACGCGTTAAATAGTATATTCCTATTTGATAATCATATGTTTTTACGCCCTTGCAATTTTTTCATTGGTGACTAAAATACAATCACCTGGTTTTGAATAAAGGCATTGAAATTAAATTAAATGAAATCCTACTAAAATTATAAATGAGAAAGTTATGATGTATGTATGGATATTTGTAACAAGTAAACGGGGAAAAACTGGTTGGATTGGGCTGAAATTTGGGTTGATGATAGCTCCTCACATTCCCGATTAACATATAGGCATATTATTATCTCAAGACTCCTTTCAGGTTCCGCCCCAGTGGCTCTGGAGTTTCCCATGTTAACCTTATTGATATTCACATTTAAAAGGAATGAAATAATTTTTCCTACAGTTACCTAACAATGTACATGTTCTCTCACTGATTTGAGAAAGCAAAGTGGCCAATTCGCTCATCAGTGAGACAATGTTGTCTCTCTCTAATTACTTTGTCTCACTGCAGATTTGCAACGTGAAGGCACGAAATAGTGAGCGCGTACCATGCAGGCAACGTCGTATGCGCGCGAAATACGTTGGCAGCACTGGCTGTAAATCAGCTGGTCAGCTGTTGTACTGTTGTATTTGTCACTTCACGTTAAATGTTATATTAAAAGTTCACTTCTGTGTAAAAATAGGTTATGTTTCTTCACCAATTTATTTGTTTTGTGGTAACTCTAGGAAAAGTATAATGTGCAACTCGAGTTCAAAGTACAATTGCCTCACTCGAAAACCATTCCTCACTCGCCTACGGATCGTGAGTAAGGATTTCTCTCGAGTGAGTCAATTGCTCACTTTTCTCACTAGTTGCACAAATAACTATTTCCTACAGTTACCTAACAATGTCCATGTTCTCTCACTGATTTGAGAAAGCAAAGTGACCAATTCGCTCATCAGTGAGACAATGTTAACATTGTTTCAGTCTAATTACTTTGTCTCACTCACTCCAGATTTGCAACGTGAAGGCACGAAATAGTGAGCGCGTAACATGCAACATGTAACATGGACAAGGTCGTATGCGCGCGAAATACGTTGGCAGCACTGGCTGTAAATCAGCTGGTCAGCTGTTGTACTGTTGTATCATTAAAAATGTAATATTAAAAGTTCACTTGTGTGTAAAAATATGTCACGTTTCTTTACAAATTTATTTGTTTTATGGTAACTGTAGGGAAAAAATGTGCAACTCGAGTGTCAAGTGCAATAGCCTCACTCGAGAAACCATTCCTCACTCGCCTTTCTCTCGAGTGAGTCAATTGATCCATTTGCTCACTAGTTGCACAAATAACTATTGTCAGCTGATTCGACCAAACAAGTTGGTTCTATGATATTCAATAGCATTAAAAAGTTATAAGAAGTTTTACCAAAAGGGAGCAGTGCTATTATATTTTTTTGCAATTTATGATAAAGCAGCATCAAAAAGCTGTGATACACAATCAGAACTGTCAAAGTAGGATTGTTTACAGTAATTCTTATGTTTTTAATTTAATACATAATTTGTAATATTGTGTGAATGTTTCATTTACTTTTTTATATTGTTTAGGGGCTGTAGTAGAACAGAATGGCTATGGTAGATGTGTAATGCTATACTGTATATACTATACTATATCTGTAATACTATAGGCCTAGCATATGAAATATAAAGAACGAAATTCTCTCAAGCCTTATCCTCCCCTATTGAAAACGCAAAGCTAAGAGTATAACTGCAATAAGCATTTTATTCTTAGTAATTTATGAATACAAAACTTTTTTAATAACTTACCACGTTATTAATTACACTAAAAAATTAAAAATAATTTATAAATATGTGTAGAGAATAAAAACTTGTAAGGTTTAAAACTAAAAACGTTGGGCGCATGAATTAGCTTATTTACGAATATCCCTCTTTATTATTATATATTGCTTGCGCTCAACGTTTTTCGTTTTAAATCTCTCAAGTATTTATTCCCTCCACATATTTATAAATTATTTTCTTCTTTTTAGTGCGTTTAAAAACGTGGTATTTAAAAAGTTTTTTTATTTATGAATTATTTTAATTTACATTAAGCGTCACAAACCTCTTATTCGAGTAAATAAAAAAACGCCAGTTCATTGTACTGACCAGCTATTTCATAATTAAAATTAAATTAAATCATGTAAACATTGGAAGTATGCCAGGCGTAGCCCTTTAGAAATCAGCCTGTGGGGCAGAGCCCTGAGGAAATCCGTCCATATCAATACTTTGCGGCAAATCTACACACTGACACAATGACGTTTACATAAAATTTGACTATTTCACTTTAATAATATAATAGATGGCCTGTTTACATAACCAAAACATTTTTGATCTGTAATCAGATGTTTTACCTTTACTTTTAAATGTTTGTTTATATTTTTAGAATCTCTTGGGAGCAGAACCTGTACCTCTTACCTGTTCTCTTTGAATGAACTGAAATTTGGAAGCCCATGGGGCGTAGCCCAAGGGAACTACGCAAATAACATGATTTAATATTGCATCGTCATCCATATGTGAGCTCTCTAGCCCATCGGGATGTTGGTTTAACATATTTTTTTACCGAACAGACATGAAAGCGAGCTAATAAAAACGTTTTAATTTAAAATTCTTAATTTATCCAGGCAATATGTTAGGGCTACATGGCCCTGACTTGACCTGACAACTGACCTGGCGTTTATGAGTACTGTATTATATTTTTATTGGAATAGAAAGTATCAGTTATCAAACAACTTTTTGATACTTAAAAAAAACTATTAATTGAGCGTAGCGAGCAAAGCTCTTATACTTATAGGCACAAGGCTGTTCGTCCAATTATAAAAAGTTTTAAACTAGTTTGTCATTTCAATGTAAATTATTAAATGATTTATAACTGTTTCTGAGTGTTTTAAATGATTTTATATCAAAGTGAAAAATCCTAACTAAGATAAATAATCTTAGAAAGAAAGCTACAAGAGTTGACTCACTCATCCTACACTTATCTACCATTTAGACTTCTGTGTATCGGCAATGGTTAAACCGATCTGTCATAATATTTGCCCTCCAATGGTATCTCAGTCCTATGAGGTTGGTTCCCCATATGCTCTATAGTCTGCAACATCAACCCTTATCACATCAGCTCGTACCTTCCTCCACACCGGTAGTCTTGTCATGGTGGTCCCGGTCGTCTGTGTCTCCAGCGGCCTCCTGCAGAGATCCTCGTTCATCCTCGCGCACTCCCCTCACGACACATCCCTCAGCCTCCTCACAGTCACTCCCTCGCACAATCCCGGACTCCGCCCTCATTAACACAATCACCACAACCAACAACACCGCCGTCTTCATCACGTCCTCGTCCACGGTCCCCGCCGGTATGAACTTTGCCAAACATCCAGTTTCTTTTCAAGGTGGCGTCAATCGGTGGTGGGATGAGAATCACTTTTTTCACTCGAATCTCATTGGGTACCGGTACTGAGTAAAGCTTTTTTGGCAACCGAGGGAATGCGACCCACATTTGAGAATGCAAGCAGCGCAAAAAATTTCGCGTTTCTTGTTCGTCTCAGCTCGTTATGTAAATTACGAATAATCGTGAAAGGGGTTTGAGATCCCTATAAAACACCAATGGGTTTGGGTCCAATTTACTTGACGTGCAAATCCGGCAACTCCGGTTATGGTCAAAGCGCCGCATATTGAATATCTGAATATGTGACGACAGTCGGCTGCTAATGATAGTTTATTCCAAAAGACAATAAGGTATTTAGGCTACGACACATGACCAGTCTATTGATAAAGTGGATATTATGGTTCTTGCAAGCTTGCAATGATGATTCCGTATCCTATACTTATATAAACAGTGTTTGCTTGTATCATTTATGTAATGTATGCTTAGACAAAGATCTCGAAAACTGCTTCGACAATCCTTTCAAATGCTTTAAATAGTTTATATTTGGCCTCAAAACGTGATTGACGGCATTCACTGCCTCAGGAAAGTTCTTATTTCGCTACTGAGCTCATTTGAAATTTTAAAATTAAACATTAGCCTTATGGGCTACCAAGTAATTAATTATGTTGGTTGAGCGAAATAGCAAGGAAAAAGTACATTATAACATCATACGACACAACAATATTAAGTTCATCAGAAGACTAAGGTATAATCGGTTTAAATTGGTTTAACCGTGGGAAATAAATGAAATGAAATGAAAGACTGTTGATGCGAGTAAAACTCTTCAAAATCACATAAATGCGAGTGCTTAGACAACAGGAGGGTAAAAATGAACGCTGCAAAATCTTGTCATGTAACATTTACATTGAGGCGAGGCTTTTGTCCTTCAAAGTACATAAGCAACTTAAGCATTCCTCAAAGTGATAGTACTCGTTATATTATTTCTCGTGTGCAGCAAAGTGCCACTCCGCCCACTAGTTACACAAATAACTATTGTTTATCCGCTGGCATTAAAGTAAAATAAATCTTCTACTTTTGTTTTTCGTATACATTGTTTACTATTTATCGCAAACAACAAATTTCCATTAAAATAATAGCTGTTTAGCGCAGCAACGCGCACCCTGGGTAACATCTACTTACTTATCAAATCAAAATTATTGATTTACAAAACTCATATAAATCAATGAGGACTTAGAATTTCAATTCTTGGCACGGTAAAAATTTGCCACATGAAGAAAATCTCAATATTCCAGTAAAAACCCTTCGTTTTAGCGAATTTCCCATATAGGGAATAAGCTATTACCGTAGTACTCATGGTAAGACCTGGACGCGGGACCGATTTTTTTTTCGTTTTGAGGTCCCTAGAGGCCAAAAACACCATCCGTTCAAATTCATATATATATATATATATATATATATATATATATATATATATATATATATATGTGTGTGTCCGTCAGCACGATAACTCAAGCAAAAATGATCCGATTTTGATGAAATTTGGTACAAACGTGTAAACGTACGTTTATTTGAACGAGTTCGCGATCCAGCATGATCGGACCATGGGAACGGGGGTTTACGGGGGGTTTTATGGGGTAAAAATAGGTTTTTCCCATTTTTGACCCAAAAAACATAAAATTTAGCAATTTCTTTCCAAACCATTTTGTAGAGCTTAAAAAAACAAATAACTTAGTATATTGAAGCGTTATTATGCGCCTAATTGTTACGGAGAAAATTCCAAAAAATTGTAAATTTAAAATTCCCATGTTATTCTTATGGAGAATAAGTAAACTGTTATAGTTTGCTTGTTTGTGAACATATTTTGATCAAATTTGGAAAATGTTTTTATTTCTTACGAAACTATTCACATTTAAAAAAAAAAACAGTTTTACCCTCCCTGATGCAGCAAACCTAAGTACTTGTTAAACTAATTCTATTTAAATAAAGAATAAATGTTATATTTTTAAGTAGACATTTCAGTGTAAATCCAATCAGTCAAATGGAAATTCGCTTAGTCTGCAGGTTTGCTGCGGCGGGGGTATTATTATGTAAGCAACGGGACTGCCCACCATGATTTTGTCTTGATATTCGTCCATGAGGAATCGAGAAAATACCACTTACAGTTTGCCATCAAACTTGATGAACATTCAAACCAATTGGAACAAGACCTCCTCACATTGTGGCTGCTAGGTGTAATCCGCTGGCGTCTGCGAAGACACTGGGTCAGGGATGTGAGCCTTGACGATCAAGAAAGCAGCTGAAGAGGGACGGCTGCTGAGCCTAACCTCATTGTTATTGTTGTTAACTCGTCAGTGCATTTGCTCTTTGTTTTTAGTGAATTTCCCAAGTAGGGAATGACCTATTACCGTAGGTCTCAGAACGATGATCGCTGAGCGATATCGCTGGGCGTCGATCGCTTAAGGCCCGTTGTCCAAGAACGCGTCTATTCAGTTCAACAGTTGGTTGCTGACTGTGTTAAAATTTATTTTGCTCTCACTATTCGTGTTAAGAGCAAAGTGTTGAAGATCCTATTCATCGAAGAGATAGAAAACGAGGACATTGTGGGCCTTTAGTGAACCTCGATTGTGTACCCACAATGTTTTCAAAAAGAGAAGTGAGTAAGGATATTTTAAAATACTAATCAAAAACCACTTCAATGCAGACAAGAGGCTGTTAAGTGATTTTTTTTTTACTTTTAAAGGAAACAGTTTAAGTTCTTTTAAAGTTTAAGTTGTAATAATTTGATTTAACATTAAATTATTATTTTCTTTAGTTAAAGACACATATCCCCTATTCTAAATAACTCCCAATATGTAATCCATAGCTAAAATAAAAGTTAATACTAAAGTGAATTATTTAAGACTATAAAGAATATTGGGAGTTGAAATTGGGGATATTGTCTTTAACTAAACTAAAGACAAATTTCGAAATAAATATAGGCTATGTTAAATTAAGGCCATGACACATTTTAAATATGTAAGATTTTATTTAGTGGTTAATCAAATTAAAGCCAAACATTTACCGAGTAATTTAAGACCAGAAATAACTTGGCGGTGTATTAACAACCCGAGATATAAATCTCTTAATAAAACCTAATTTATAAAAAAGTTAAATTTAATTTAGCGTTTTTGTTCGTAGCTGGTCTCTAACTAGTCGTATTTTAATGACCAATAGCTCAAATGGAAGCTCTTACATTACTGAATAATTTAAGGCTAAAACGAACTGCAAGCGTTAATACGAACTGGAGATATTAAAAAAATAATTTTAAAAAATGATAAAAGTACGAAACGTCTATAAGAAATGTATGGGGGAGAGTTTTCGTTTGAATATATCTTAAAAAAAATATATTTTTTAAACGGATTTTGGCATTGAAATCAACATGAAAATCTAGTTTATAATGATGTGTCACAACACTACCATTACATTAAAAAATAATATGTATATCCAATATTGCATATCCAAGGTGGTGGCCATAAACGAGTTTCCTATCGTAATGAAGTACTAACCACTCAATAAATACTTACAGATTGATCTTAAATCAATATCTCGAAAAATGTGCATAAAATATGCATGTGGAATCATTTTTTTATTTGTCCAATGTTGGGAAAATCCGCCATTTTTAATCATGATTTTAGGAAGTTTCCAAAGGACCGATTTATGGCAACTTTTAGTACGTCATTCAGCAGACCCAATACTACAAAATAAAACCATAAGACATTTTCTTGCATTTTTTAAATGTCATATCCTATATTTCTTGGACTATAGCCATTCAAGATACTGTATAGTGTGGAGTGTATGGGAGAACACAGACACAGCACTTGCAATAGACCGTCTATTGCAATAGACGCAATAGACGCTGGCCATCATGTTGACGACTTCGTAGAGACCTACGAGCCGGACTCCGACGACGAGGACATCCCCCACGTGACCGTCAGCGAGGTGAAGGGCCACATCGCTCGACTCCGTCCGAAGAAGGCCCCTGGACCGGACTCCCTCGGGACTCCAGCACTGAAGAACCTGCCGGCTTGGGTGATTGTTGTGATCACCTGTCTCTTCAACTCCTGCGTGAGGCTGGCCCACTTCCCTGACACCTGGAAGTTGGCGAACGTCATCCTCATCCCCAAGCCCGGCAAGGACCACATCTTCCCCGAGAACCACAGGCCGATCTCCCTCCTGCCTGTGCTCTCCAAGATGCTGGAGCGAATCATCCTGGCGAGATTCCCCGAGGAGTTCTTCTCTTCGATCAGGACTGAGCAGTACGGCTTCAGGCGGGGCCACTCCACCACCCTCCAGCTGCGGCGGGTCCTCAACACCATCGCTGGAGCGATGGAACGGAAGCACCAGTCGACCTCAGTCCTGATCGACGTGAGCAAAGCCTTCGACCGGGTCTGGCACGAGGGGCTTCTCTACAAGCTGGCGTCCTCCCCTCTACCCGGCTCGATCTACAGGCTCGTCAAGAGCTACCTGACCGCTCGCCGCTTCAAGGTCTCCGTTGGACGGGCGACTTCCACACCACGGCCAGTCTCTTCGGGTGTGCCACAGGGGTCGGTTCTCGGGCCGATACTCTACCTGTGGTACACCAACGACATGCCCCTGGCGCCGAGAGTGCAACTCTCGCTCTATGCAGATGATGCGCTCTTCACTGCCACCTCCGCCAACCTGAGGATGTCCAGGGTGTATGTCCAGCGACAGCTGGACCTGTTGCTGCCGTGGCTGACGAAGTGGCGAGTCAAAGTCAACGCTGACAAGAGTGAGGCCATCTCCTTCACGAGGTCGAGGAGGCAGGACGATGGTCAACACCTCCACCTAGACGGGGCCGACATCCCATGGAAGCGCCGGGCGAAGTACCTCGGCGTCCTGCTGGATCAGCGACTCACCCTGACTCCCCACGTCGAGAGGGTCTGCGACCTCGCCAGAAGAGGTCTTGGCGCCATCCGCCCGCTGCTCGGGTCACGGAAGTTGTCGACGGCTGCAAGAGTCCGACTCTACACGGCCCTGCTTCGGCCTGTCCTCACGTACGCAGCCCCTGCATGGTACCACCTCACCTGCAGAACCGCTAGACGGAGGCTGCTCGTCGTCCAGAGCAAGGCTCTTCGGCAGGCGACAGATTCACCCTGGTACGTGAGGAACTCCGTCATCAGGGACTCCACAGCAGTGACAACTCTCCGAGACTTCGTCGACGGCCTTCGAGCGAGACTTGAAGAGACGGCGGATGACTCTCCGTGGGAACACATCAGGGACCTGGTCGCTGAGGATGTTCCCCAGCTTCGCCCCCGGATCGACGACTAACTCCCAGAATGACGTTGACGTCTACAGGTAGCTGAGCTACCAGGGCTTGGACCCACAGCAGACCGGAAGTATATGCTCCCAGCGAGCAGGCACTTCCCCCAGACGTGGCGCTAGTCGCCACAATCATATACACTTGGACTTGGCTGGCCATCAGCGATCCCGTCTGCTCCCGGAGCAGTGCCCCGCGTCAGACGCTTGAGACGCTCTCATTGACAACTGGCCCATAGACGCAATAGACGCTGGCCGTCAGCGATCCCGTCTGCTCCCGGAGCAGTGCCCCGCGTCAGACGCTCAGCGTCTCAAGCGTCAGACGCTAGAGACGCTCCCTTGGACAACGGGTCCATTGAAATCAATGCTTAGCAGTCACTGAGCGTCCATCGCTAGCGTCTATTAAGCTCATCGCACACTACAGCCAGACGCGCCGCCCCGCGCCGCGCCGAACCGCCGTGTAATTCCGGCCGAATAGTTTTCATGGGAATCAATGAGAGTGCGCACACTTGAGCGCGCCGCGCCGCGCAGCCGTGTCCGCCTCGGAATAATTCCGTTGCCAGAACTCTCGGGAGAAGTCGCGTGGAATTGTTCTGCTGAAGGCGGCGCGGCGCGCTGTAGTGTGCGATAGGCAACGGAACCAATTTCTGACCGTGCCACCTTCATGTGTCTTCGTACTACCTCGGTCTAGTAATTGTGTCAAAGTTGTGTCTTGTTTTTCAATTAAATATTTGAGCATGTTAAGTAGGCTAGTTCATAACACTTTTCGGGGGACATTGTGAAATATTGGAAACATCTTCGTTTGACTTTCAGTAAATCGGGGAAAAGGTGGTGAAATTCCCCATATATTTACCTCTTCTCGTTTATGGGATGAACCCACGTGTAGTTTTTTGCCTCTTCTTCTCTTCTGATTCCAGTAAACAAAATAAAAACGTATCTTCGTCCTCAGAACTGCTCATCTTGAAAAATGACAAAAAAAGTTTCACTTGACAATACATAAACGAGATACACGAAGGCACAGAACTACAGACACTGCCCCACTGCCGGTGAGGAACGGCGGTGACGGCGGCCAGTATGTGCGACCTCACAGCGGAAGTTTCCATATGGCGGTGCGGCGCGGCGCGGCGCGTTTGGCTGTAGTGTGCGATGAGCTTTACTCAGCGTCAGACGCAACAGACGCGTTCTTGGACAACGGGCCTGTAGATGTGTTATACTATATCATACCGTAAGTTTTTGAACAAAATTTTATAAAACAGTGTCCTCCCCCATTGCAAACGCAAAGTTTGAATATAGCTGTAATAAGCATTTTATACTTATATGCCAACCCCGTGCGAATGACGGGCGCTCTGCTAATGTTAAATACAATCATGATGATATAATCACGAAAAAAGTTCTAAGACTTTTGACAGATGAAACTTATTTAATAAGGGAGAATCAAAAAGAGGTTTCAGTTTATTAAATTCTAATAATGTGTATAATTAAACATTTTAATTTTATATGAGTTTAGCTAATTTAAAAACATTTAGTAAATACCCTTTAAAAATGATGTAAATGGGGATAAATACAAATTACAAATGTTTCCACTAAAATACTCAGGACTGAAATACCTTTAAAATGAGGTAAAACACGACCCCCCTTTACAATTGAAAATTTCCCAAAAACCACCCACACCCCCTAAAATCTGCCATTTGGGGTGCCACGCTGCATGGTAGCATCTTACTAAATACTGATGGTATTGTTGCTTAGCTTTTTCAGATAGCCTGTTCGGTCGTTTACGGAACTTTGGTAAACAAATCTTTGAGATTTTTTTCTTTTTAATGATGTAAAGTTTATGTCTCCCAATTTATACTTTTTGAGATACAAAATCATGAAGTTGGGTCCATATTTCTGAGTAGCCCTGTATAATAATGTTTACTTACTATGCTTCTATTATACTTTTACTATTATACATTTAATGTTTAATAATGTTTATAATTGTTGTGTGTGCACCAGCCGATACAGTCAATGTAGCGTGTTAAAGTCATACCTTATGATTTATGTTAATTTATGGTGTTATACACAAAAACATTTTCCCCAGATATCATTTTTAAAAAGTATTTACTAAATGTTTTTAAATTAGCTTAACTCATATAAAATTAAAGTGTTTAATTATACACATTATTAGAATTTAATAAACTGGAACCTCTTTTTGATTCTCCCTTATTAAATAAGTTACTTTTGTCAAAAGTCTTAGAAACTTTTTTTCGTGATTATATCATCATGAATGTATTTAACACTAGCAGAGCACCCGTCCTTCGTACGGGGTTGGCATATAAGTATAAAATGCTTATTATAGTTATACTCAAACTTTGCGTTTGCAATGGGGGAGGATACAGTTTTATGACATTTTGGTTAAAAAAATTTACGGTATGATATAGGGAACACATCTACCATTGCCATAATGTTCTACCACTGCACCTAAACAATAGAAAAAAATAAATTGTCAAACATTCGGACAATATCACAAATTATTCATTAAATAAAAAACTCAAACCTAACTGTAAACAATCCTACTTTGACAGTTCTCATCGTGTATCACAGCTTTTTGTTGCTGCTTGGTTCAAATTAGCTGTTGTCATAAAATATGCAAATGGAACTACAGAGCCACTGGGGTGGAGCCCGAAAGGTTTTTTGAGATAAGAATTTGCCTAAATGTTAATCGGGAATGTAAGCTATCATCATGGCAAATTTCAGCCCAATCCGTCCAGTAGTTTATGCTAGATTGAGCAACACTCAAACACACACACACAAACGCACCAACTCACAAACTTTCAGTAAGATAGTAAGATAGGGCGCCTGAAAAGGCTGTGCCTAATTTTAAATGTTCATCACTAAAACCAAATGTGGTTTTCGAATTTCATATTGTCTTTTGATTGTAGCTAATTTGATGCCTTTGATGGTAGTTCATATGGTAAACTGTTTGATGCTTTTAAGATTGCTATTATGGATATTATGCAAGAATAATAAAAATAGCCATAATGAACTGTTTGAAAGTGGCAGTGTGAATAATGAAAATATTGTTCGCGATTGGCTCAATGTAACATCCCTCGATAAATGGATTTGACGAGGTAGCCCACATCACTGGCCTGTACGTGATTTCTTTTTGTTGGGATGGGCAAAAGAAGAGCTTTAGCGAAGAAATCTAAAGACTCTACATGAATTGGAAGTTTTCATTTTAGTTGTTCTTGGTAATATTACACAAGACTTTATTCGAAACCCTGTTCAAAATATATCTGTTGGATTAGGAGAATGTGTATTCCATAATAAATGGCATTAATCAATGTTCAAATATACATGTTTATTTGTTCTTTAGCACCATAAACAGTCATGACAATTATTAATTAAAACAGGTAATGACTTTTCAGAGACCACAGCGTACAGACATAACACACATGTTTATTTCAAAGTAACGTGTGAAGGTAAATAAAACAGCATAAACATTGTATGAAACATTATTTATTATAGAAAAGGCTGGATTTCTTTGGTAAATAAATACAATGTTCTGTTTAGCAATAAAAACACACATAACTCAGTACAGACGTATCAAATGCAAACAATCAAATAAATACTGAAACACCACTAAGAATACATGTTCTTAATAACTGACGAATACGCACTAGAAACTACAAAAGAACTAAAAGATGACGAATAGTTAAATGATTAAAGAAACTACTATCAGTCAGCGTAAAAGTGGTTAAATTGTAACTTATATACAAACAAAATGAAAATAAAGCTTAAATAAGCAGAACTAAATCATAGATATCACAGAGAGTCAAGGAAAATAAAATAAGGAATAAAGCTACAAAGTAAGTTACGGTATGAAAAACAAGATGCTACAAAACAAATAGATCATCAAAACACAACAATGAGAATAGTTAAACTACAAACAAAAGAGAGATAGACGAATAATAAATGAAATGAACATCATGTGCAGCACTATTTAATAGTGGATGACGAAGAGAAGGGAGCAAGCAGTAGGCTTATTCAAAAGACTGGCGAAGAAAATGAGGATTGTAGTATTCGAGCCGTGCAAAACTGTGTTTATAGGTAACAATAAAAGTAAAAGTAGTGCAAGTTAGTGGGAAGTCAGTTACGATATAGTTGTAGTAAGATAAGGTATAACAACATCACTTACGATTACTATGTTCATGAGAAGTCCCATGAGCTAAGTTGTACTTGAACAGCTGTTAGAACACTGAGGGTGTAAAATGAACATTTTGCTCCTACAGTTCTTGGATGTTACTCTGAACTATATATTTAACTTGTAGCACCAAAGTGTTATCTAGAGGTAAGTAACCAGAGAGCCAAGGTGGCCTGACTATTTACACTAATAACCATGTTTTGTAAACGGTTCTATAACGGGTGATACATCACGTATAAAATAAATTAATATTAAATAGCTTGGGTATGAACACTATGTACAGTCTCTTCTCTTTGTGAATTCCTCTTCGTCGTATCTGAAACAAATGATAGCAATATTAGACTAAATAGTAAACTATGAAACATAATGTTATGCTTTATTGGTAAGGTATTCACATGGAGGACGGTGGTATAGATAGATTGGCATGTTCACAAAAGTGCAAAGTCGATAACGAGATCCTATTTATTGCCCAAAAGAAGTATTTTACACTATATAAAACCTTGTAACTCACATTAACCAAACTTGATGAATTAAAATAATTTAAAACCACGAGGCACATACTGCGTACCACAAAAGTACAGCATGAAAGTATGAAATCCAGAATACAGTAATTGTTTTCCTTAAAGATGATTTCTGGTCGTGGTGAGTTCATGTTGTTTGAGAAAATATTAAGGTGATTTTCATTGCTATAAATCACTAAACAGTAAACTATAAAATCTGATTAATTGTTGTAGGATACATTTTTAAATATTAATACGATGGCCCTTTGTTAGAACGAGTGTCAAAAACACAATAGTAAAGTTCATAAGTGTCTGAGAGTACATGTAAAATGTATTTTGGGTTATGTAGAATGTTGAGAGTACAATGTAACCCGGATCTGGCGGTGGCGGCTGGGGGCAATTAAACAATTCATGAGAGAGAGTGGGAGAAGAGAAGAGATGAGATCAAGTTCAGGTGTCCATCGACCTACATACGTAGTGCCGCGTTTCCAAAAATGACCAAGACCCAATTAACCGGTCCAGGCCCTTCATTACCCCCACCCCCTCCCAACAACTTTCGACCGAATCAAATGGAACTGGTGTCTACTTTCATCTGGAATGTCAGCTCTCGGACGTGTAATAGATATGGTGGCGCATAATTGACATTGAACTGGTCTCTTGAACCTGTGATGGAGAAAGCAAACGAGTCCGATCATACGATGCTGAGATGATTGGAAAACTCAAACACTGTAATATTGGTATAGCGCTTCGAGTACTTGGGGAATTTAAAATTATGTTACTTGGGGGTTTGTATCGGCTTCAAACGAAACCTCCGGGTAATTGTGGCAGCAGATGTTTGCAAGTAAGTTTCAACGATAAATATTCTACGTTTATTGCAGACATGATTGAAAGTGAAGCTAAAAAATTATCTGTCTCGCAGCGTAAGAAACACCACCGATCTGCAGATTGCCATACTCGTAGCAATAGGCTTGTTTGACATTTTAGTAATCCAAAGTTAAAGTCCTTAAAAGGGGATGTTTCAAATGCGGTAATTAAATTACCAAGTATTTCAAGGAATGTAGATAAATCTACAAAGATATTTATTGAATGATAAAAACCATAAGTTATAACAGACATGGTACCCGCGTACTGTTGTCATTTTAAATCAAAGGCCCAATTGATATGTTTGATATTTTTCATTTGGATGTCCCTTTAAAAATATTTAATTTTGTATATGTTTTCTAAATAATCTTTGTTAAATTCTCAATTATCTTAAGGTTTACGCATTATTTGCACTCTAGGGGCCTACCTGTGTATACACAACCCGACCGTAATAACAGCGTAGATTAATAGAGTACTAAGAAAAAAAAAATGATTGTCTTTGTAGGAGCCGTTAAATCAATCTGTCCATTATGTTCCACCGGACAACAAAAGAAATCGGGGTCGGAGTAATAATTAATAATGATAAAGAGGCTTTCTTCCAGACAACTTTCTCTACCCTTTGAGATGGCGCTCAGCCTTGAGGCCGGCCAACCTTGAGCCGGATAATAAGCGTTCCTTAGATGAAAGCTGGGGACAAAGAGGTCCAGCGGACAAGGCCGAGGTCATCAACTTCCGGGACATCTCGGGCTCGGGTGATCCAGCTTCGATCGGGGTCAATAACGGGTTGACTGGGAGTAGAGGTCGAGTCAAGGCCTCAAGGACCGCCCAGACGCCCACCTGTTACAACCAGGAGCCAACAGTCGCCTGGTGTTAGGCGCGTTGTACGAGAAACTATACCGCAAGTTGGGGGAGAAGCTTTTGACCATAACAAACCCCGTGTAGATTATCTGTAAGCTGGTCCTGTGGAGAAAAAAAGTAACTCGAACCTTGAAACGATCCGTGAAATCAGCCATCAAGTAACAAAGAGCGCGAAATGATAGAGCGGTCAGGACAATAACCAAGTGTAGGTTGAGCGACGCGCGCCGACAGCTCACGTTTCTGCTGTCAGTTCTTCCTCGGCATCAGGTGGCAGTGTGGCATCTTTCACTGTGTAGAATCTTGTGTTTTTCTTTCAATTTCCATTACAATAATAAATTAAATAAAGGACAAACTTTCATGTCAAGGGACAAATAAAATAAAGTTAAATAAAAATATCCACAATGTGACTAATTTGAAGGCTACCAACAAATTTGACCACTAAACTATTTAGGATATGCAACGATACGATGCAAGATACGTGGTAATGAGAGGTCCACGAATTGGTATTGACCACGTTTTTGACCACACCCTGTTGGTCCGTGGTCACTGGTCAGTTTCTCCGGTCTAGATCTGAGCTTTCCCGCTATTACATTATACACGACCACGGTCTAACGGGTTTATCAGATCGCTGGGATCGCTAGAAAGTGGCTTTAGTCTTTACAACTTACAACTTACAGCTGTGTCCTCGGCCGACAGCTCGTCTTGACCATATGTTGTTTGGGAAGTTTCTCTTAGTTTATTATTCAAGATGAGTAGTGGACAAAATTATGAGTAGTGTGATAAAAACAACTCTTCTGGTTAACATATTTTACCGCCTGTCAAGCGTTTAACCGTTGGCAAGCATCTTTAAGATATATGTTGTAAATTATGGCAAGTTTAACCTAAAACTATTTTATCTATAAAAAGATGCCAGTTTTTACTACGTTAATTGGAAAAATATATCGCAAGGATTTGACTGGAGTTAAGAGAGACATCAACGACTGGAGTGACAGACGGCGTAGGTATGCTTAGTTATGAAGAGAACACAATTATTGTTTAAGATTGATTGTATCGACATTCGTATATATTAAAAATACTTTACAGCTATTATAAAATAGCATTTAATTTTTTATCAGTTTGGGGTTTTATATTATTACTGCCAGGGATTTAAAATGGGTGTATATTTTTGTTAAAAGTTTCCGTATCTATTTTCTGTTTTATTTTATTGTATAAACTGATTCTGTTAAAATATTTATATCATATTTTAAAGTACAGGTTAAGAAAGGGCCATGTGGCCCTAACTTTGCCTGTGTAAATAAATTATTTTTCATTTCATTTAATTTTTATTTCATACTGAGCTGTAATAAAAACAAAACATTGGTTTGGCAGCAGTATTACCAATGTTTAGATATAGCGTAGTGTTTCCATCTCGGAGTGAATCTGTGTAATATGGGATTACATATTAGCATAAGACAAGGCAGTTATGTAAACCAGTGAATCTCCTTCTATGTGTAATAAGTAAATCTGCTTACCAGTTTATCTCCTGCGGACGGGCTTCTGGGCGGAGTAGGCGATGGAGTGAGCCACGTTGTTGCTGTATGAGCCGTGGGCGTCTCCATGGCCGCTGTAGCTATCCCAGCCACCGCCGCCGCCGCCACCGCCACCGCTCCAGCCGCCACCGTGGCTGCTGTACTCCACCGGGTGGGCCACCACCTCGTGGTGAGCCGGCGCATGGTGGTGCTGAGACAACAGCTTCCTGATGGCGATGAAGCCGGAGATGGCCAGGGAGATGAGAGACGCCAGCAGAGCCTTCTTGGCGATCAGCGCGATCACGATGTACGCCAGACCGGCGAACGCTGCGAGCTTCACCTTCAATCCGATCAGCAGAGGGAACAGAGCCTTCAGCAGCTTCTTCTTCTTTCCTCGTCCTGGAAAAATGGATGTGATTATTATACTCGTACATCAATATAGTGTTCTGGCCATGACTGAGCGAGGTGCACCGTTGCATGTAATGAATGTCAATGTGAGTGTGACTGATGGGCTTGACCCTACCTCAGGTTTCACATCATCCGTCTGGATGTAGGGTTTATGGACTCGCCGTTAGTTTTAATTGTCGGCAATAACAGACCATGACTGGGAGTGAGTGATAAAACAATACGATCTATTACACGAGGGAAGTGGGACTGGCTATAATGGAGGAAGCGTTTTGCATGATTCGAAAGTTCGATAGTCTGAAATGGGTTTTACAATTGTCCAATTAACTCGATGAATTCTGGATTTTATATCAAATCGAAGCTGTCTAGAAAGCTATAAGAACCCATTTACAGGAGAGTGAATGTAAATAAGATAAATGATTGTAATCTCAGTAATATAAATTACATGTTGATACAGCCCAGATGAGTGACGATGTCACGTCACTTGGTGCCCGGTGAGCCAAGACGGTCACAGTCACGGTCAGCTGTTATCTCGTTAGCTGATCTTATCATCAGCTGGAGCCGATAAGGATAACGTGACCACTTCAGTGTCCAGTCACTACCCGGACGTGGCCCTCGTTAGCTTCGTCCTGTATTTATCAAACATGCTTCTGTACTGGTAATTGCCTTGTGAACTTGCAATAACTGTCCTGTTCCTGCTGGTTAATGAACCTCTACGTTATCACGCATTTCTGAACACCCCACATACTGCCTACTGATATCTTTTTGTCCTTATCATATCATGTGTCATTATACACTATTCTTAATTTTACCTTAGAATAAACGCATGCTAATTTGAATAGTGTAAACTTACGAATCTAAAAATATTTGATAAATTCTTAAAGTTATTAGGATTTTTTAAATACTGTATGTGATAAGTCCACAGGTATGATTGTTAAGCAGTAAGTAATAACAATGTTCACATATGGCCTACTGGAAGTGGGAATCCATGAAAATGAAACAAATTTAACAATTGACCCAGAGTAAATAGAGCAGTGAATGTACAGCAATCTGCTGAGTAATGATAAGGAACGATTACCCGGCGAGAAACGTGTGAGAAGAGGATGTATGAGAGAGATGGAGATATGTCCGGTACTTTCCCACAATTAATGCATCCTAGGAGTGGACAGGACCTGTGTAGCCGGTACCTAGATCCTGGGTCACCAGGGCAACCGACCTGTCTGCGTGGGGGGCTCCTACGCTTAACACAGTCCAAATTACTTGTTGTTTGCCTCCATACAAATCTTGGCTTATATTTTACAGGGGACGTTTTAATAAAAGCATCATAAAAAGCATTGATTTGTATTATAACATATGTGTTGGCATGATTTCCAGTTTTTTTTTTGCAAAATATGGGTTTCATTTAAAAATCTAAAGACTTGAATAAAAAAATGGTATCAATGTATTTTGTTATGGCTTACATAAATATCAAAGCTACATACTCTTTCTTAAAAATTAGATTGTTATGGACAATCAACCGATAACTGCCCGTAAAACCATTAATTTCCTTGTTAAATCCAAGTTTAACGTTATTGTAAAATTCGCTGAAATTGTGAAATCGAATCTCAAGTAATGGTAATATAACGTTTTTTGTCTCATTGCTAAGTTAGTAGATAAATACAATACAGGTGAAATTGTTATTGGTAAGGAAGCGTTTACTAACGTAACTAATTAATTTTGCATTTTCCTTTCAGGACAGTAAACCTATTTTATCATATTATAACATTACCATTTATAAAAGTTTTAAAGCAAATGACTTTAAACTTGAAATTAAACCGGTTAAAAAATATTGTTATTAGTTAATAGGGTATGGATTCAATTGTTTTAATCGTTAGAAAAACAAAATAATCATAGTACGTTTCGATTTAATTAAGATAATATCAATTGAAGATTAGTTTTCGAATAAATACAATGAATAGAAGTAAATATAACTTTTACGGTGATTTATACAACACAGTGTCAGTAACCTGTACTTATGTCTACAAGGATCACGGAGACTTTAACGAATGGTTGGTCCAATTTGGTTATCGTTACATATTTTTCATTATGCAGTTATAACAAATAAGATAGGAAGACAAATACCAAAACTATACCTGGTGTGATCATTAAGTTTCTAACTTTTTCAAGCACAAGGTAAGCTGATGTATCAACAGGGTGTTACTGTAGATGAATCACTTACTACAGTAATATCATACATCATTCCAACTGCTAATTGCATCTCATAGTAATTTGCAAAGTACAAGTGTGATATACATCCTATCAATAACTCCTACTCCACATATCGCTGACAGTTAACACGGCTTGTGGGCTGTGGGGCATGCAGTAATTAGAATGGTTTTACTTTCAAGCTCGTTCATCATTCTATATACAGGAGTGATTAGCAAAGAAAGACTTTCTAGTGCTGTAGGAAGAACCCGCATTTGTAGAACTTTTGATAGCTACAGTACATGCCTTATTATAAAATGTATAAAAATATCAACCCATTATTTAATATATAATTTTGTTATCGAGTTTTAAAAACGTAAGTGTTTGTGTGATTTTGGCGATCTGTAACAATTTATCGAGGTATGGAGTAGTACATGTACTCACCCTCAACATACTCGGAGATGTTTTCCTTGACGTCAGCAGGAACACTGTTGACGAGACTACGAGCGGTGGAAGCGACAGTGTCTACTACGGGTGACAAGTTCCAGCTCAGGCTTCGCTCCTGGAAGAACGATCCTAGCTTCTTGATGGCGAAGGCTTCCAGCAGCTCCTCGCGCTGACCAGCATCCTTGGCAGTCAAAACCTGGTTCTCGCTGGAGTCCTCGAGAGCACGAGCGCTCTTGTCCTTGGTACCGGGGTTCTTGACGAGGGACAATCCTCCGAACAAATCCACGCTCTCTTGGTCGAAGAAAGATCGGGCGTTACGGAACAGTTGGATCTGGACACAGGAGATGGAGTCCTTCTTGAAACAGTCCTCCAACCCGCTCTCAGGGATGGGGTCGGCCCAACAGGCGACTAGGAGACCGAGGAACAGAAGACCTCGGGGAATCATGTTTACCACTGCGGGGTTACTCGGGGTTTGAAGAGGATTCATATTCCAATCTCTTTTTAAAGCGGCATCTTCCACGCACGGAGCTGGTGGGGGCTGCGGGTCCTTCCTCCCGCCTCCGTTCCCCGCCGAGCGTTTCATTCTTGATTTCTAAATCACTGCTTGTGGCGCGCCCCTCCACGCTTAGCTCGCGCGCGCGGGATTCCGGGACAACTAGTTATGTATTTAGACTAGGAGGGTAATATTCACTAGTGCGGCCTTGGGACAATCGTCACGTGTGATCACTCACGCCACACGCGACATTTGACTGACAGACCACACTGTCCACACTGTCCACACTGCCACTCAGCCCACCTGCGTAGTCAAACACGACAGACGTGTCACTGCGGTGAGGCGATGTATCGAATATGAATCTATGCATTTTTGTGGGTCTGCCGGAATTTTATCCATCTGGAATTTTACCCGCTGGGAAAAGCTGACGTCACTATGATGTAGTTACCTGAGTGCTCTAAAGTTTGTTCGCGGGCGGAATTTTACCCCTGCGGATTTGGAAGACTAATGAAAATAGACAGAGCGGGATAAATTAGATTAGCAATAATACCAGAATTTTACCCCCTGACCATATAACTAGCGTTTAGACAACTGTAGATGTACGGCCCGGATTTTTACCCCCGGATTTTTAACCCCGGATTTTTACCCCCCGGAATTTACCCCCGAATTTTCACCCCCTGGAATTTAACCGCCTGGCCAGATATATAAATTATTGAGCATAATTAATTGTCTTCTTTCAATTTTAATTGAATAGTGAACATTTTATTATTAAGTAGTCTATCTTCATTTATTTGTAATCTCATCGTCTCATCAAAAGTAAACAGGTTTCTCTGTTTTACTTTGATATTTGGTATTTGGGTGTGGGGCCAAATGTTGATTAATATGTAATTATGTATAATAAACTGAGTAACTTATCTCACTTAAATAATAATTATGATTTCCTTAACAATTTATAATACCACCGTGGAAAAAATTTATTTCGTTTCTGTTGTATGCCTAGACTAACACAAAATACATTTTTGTTTCTTCAGGCACAAACCATGAGCTATTTATGGTTTATACTGAGAAAGGTCATCGACATACCTGTTGTAAAATGCAGTTTTAGGCATCCGGGAAAAGTATTGGACCAATTGTTGTGTTGACTACTGCAAGAAAACCCAAATGTTTGAATACATATTAACCAGCAGTTGGCCCAAAAAATCGAATCCCAAAATTCGAATATTAAATTTAAAATTCAAAGGTTGTTTGATTAGTTAAGGTTACAAATAAATTTAGATAAGCTACTTGGTAATAAAATGTTAACTATGAAATTAAAACTGAAAGAATAAACTTAACCATTCTCTCTTATTTCTACATCTAGCCAGGGTGTAAAATTCCGGGAGTAAAAATCTGGGCCATGCATTTTGAGCTGACTTCATGAAGCGGGTAAAAGTGCAGGGGTAAAATTCTGGCCATGTACACTCTAGGTTTTAATAATTTGATGTGTTTTAATTAAATTCACAACCGTAAAACAATACGTTTAATTCTATCTTAAATCCATCGAACTGATGCTGTGCAATTCAAAAGTTCGCGGCCGGAATTTTGCGTCCTGGTTTGTGACAGTTTTGACTAGGGGGTAAAATTCCAGGGGGATAAAAATCCGCTACCCCATTTTGGGACCCACGATGGCAAACTTTGTTGGATTTACACGTTAGTTTTTAAGTGGCATATTCCAGAAGTATAGCCCCAGTTCAGACACTATATTGCTTTAAAAATACCCCAGTTCGTCAAGCCTACTCTTGAGTATCGAATAACAAAATAATGTGATATCTAAGAAATTAAATTAATCGCCAAACGTAGATCAACGCTTATATCAGTCTTGGCTCGAGAGGCCCAACCAATATTTAGAAAAAGTACACATATACCTATTCGGGTAATGCCCTCTTGAAGGATAATGTTTGTTACGTAAGTCCAATTCAGTTATTTGCGTGCAATGTACTTATTTTGTGTTATCACTATGTATTATTTATATTTATACTAAGGGATGCACAACGTTGGAAAATATGTTGCTCAGCAACATAGTTTTTACCAATTGAAAGTGTATCTGGAATTGAATCAATCACGCACTCTTAATGTAAATTAATTTAAAACGGAGTTTTCTGACATTAACATATTGCTATTTTGTAAAGCTCTGTTTTTTTTGTTTGTAGTTTGTTTCACTGTATATTCTTCATTATATTTATATATGAAGGAGGTGTCAGCAATCCTGAAAAGTCCGCAGCTTTTTAACCCTTCCAAAAATTCCATTTGTGATTCTTCTACTGTATTCCCAATGAGCTAAATTTTTATTGCTTTTTCATAAAATACAGCCTTAATTGGCAGTTGAAACACTTTGATTAGTTATAGTGGGCCCTTCGGTCTTTGCAAACCTACTCTCTCACGATGAAGATCTTTCTTCTCTATTGGTACATTCAAAATATTGGTTTGTCAAAATATTGAGAATAGTGAAAATATTATTTAGCAAAAATATCAAGTTGCTATCAGAAAAAAATAAACTACTTTTGTAATCCATTATATTACTAAGGCTATAAGGTAAAATTCTTGGTCATCGTTTAAGGTCGTTAACCAAACAAAAATATAGGCATATGCCAGTTTAAAATAAAGCGTAGAGTGTGGAAATTTGTCGAAAATTATTGGTGTGAATGATTTCTCTAAGGGCTCTGCCCCTCAGGCCATTTTCCTAAGGGCCCCGTTTTTACATGCTTTCAAGGTTTTCATTCTTTAACACACTAATAAAATGCTGGTCAATGTAATTAATAGTTTATTATTTACCGTTTATAATTTAATTAATAGTTTATTATTATTATTTAGTTTATGTTTAGTTTTTCAGTTTATTATTATGTTATTGCTATTTATTACGTTGTTTATTATTATTTATTATTACGTGTCCTTTATGACACTGCTCCCTACAACAGTCAAGGACTTACCCTCGACACTGCTAGATGACTGCTAGATACTGCTAGGTCAGTGACTGTACAAGTGTACAGTGTGCACCACACACCCAGTCACTAGTCACGACAACAGTAACAGTTTTCCTACGTGTCCTTGACACTGCTCCCTACAACAGTCAAGGACTTACCCTCGACACTGCTAGATGACTGCTAGATACTGCTAGGTCAGTGACTGTACAAGTGTACAGTGTGCACCACACACCCAGTCACTAGTCACGACAACAGTAACAGTTTTCCTACGTGTCCTTGACACTGCTCCCTACAACAGTCAAGGACTTATACTCGACACTGCTAGACGACTGCTAGGTCAGTGACTGTACAGTGTACAGTGTGCACCACACCCAGTCACTAGTCACGACAACAGTAAGAGATCTCCTACTTGTCCTTGACACTGCTCCTACAACAGTCAAGGACTTATACTCGACACTGCTAGACGACTGCTAGGTAAGTGACTGTACAGTGTACAGTGTGCACCACACCCAGTCACTAGTCACGACAACAGTAAGAGATCTCCTACTTGTCCTTGACACTGCTCCTACAACAGTCAAGGACTTATACTCGACACTGCTAGACGACTGCTAGGTAAGTGACTGTACAGTGTACAGTGTGCACCACACCCAGTCACTAGTCACGACAACAGTAAGAGATCTGCTACTTGTCCTTGACACTGCTCCTACAACAGTCAAGGACTTATACTCGACACTGCTAGACGACTGCTAGGTAAGTGACTGTACAAGTGTACAGTGTGCACCACACCCAGTCACTAGTCACGACAACAGTAAGAGATCTGCTACTTGTCCTTGACACTGCTCCTACAACAGTCAAGGACTTATACTCGACACTGCTAGACGACTGCTAGGTCAGTGACTGTACAGTGTACAGTGTGCACCACACCCAGTCACTAGTCACGACAACAGTAAGAGATCTCCTACTTGTCCTTGACACTGCTCCTACAACAGTCAAGGACTTATACTCGACACTGCTAGACGACTGCTAGGTCAGTGACTGTACAGTGTACAGTGTGCACCACACCCAGTCACTAGTCACGACAACAGTAAGAGATCTCCTACTTGTCCTTGACACTGCTCCTACAACAGTCAAGGACTTATACTCGACACTGCTAGACGACTGCTAGATACTGCTAGGTCAGTGACTGTACAAGTGTACAGTGTGCACCACACCCAGTCACTAGTCACGACAACAGTAAGAGATCTGCTACTTGTCCTTGACACTGCTCCTACAACAGTCAAGGACTTATACTCGACACTGCTAGACGACTGCTAGGTCAGTGACTGTACAGTGTACAGTGTGCACCACACCCAGTCACTAGTCACGACAACAGTAAGAGATCTCCTACTTGTCCTTGACACTGCTCCTACAACAGTCAAGGACTTATACTCGACACTGCTAGATGACTGCTAGATACTGCTAGGTCAGTGACTGTACAAGTGTACAGTGTGCACCACACCCAGTCACTAGTCACGACAACAGTAAGAGATCTGCTACTTGTCCTTGACACTGCTCCTACAACAGTCAAGGACTTATACTCGACACTGCTAGACGACTGCTAGGTCAGTGACTGTACAGTGTACAGTGTGCACCACACCCAGTCACTAGTCACGACAACAGTAAGAGATCTCCTACTTGTCCTTGACACTGCTCCTACAACAGTCAAGGACTTATACTCGACACTGCTAGACGACTGCTAGGTCAGTGACTGTACAGTGTACAGTGTGCACCACACCCAGTCACTAGTCACGACAACAGTAAGAGATCTCCTACTTGTCCTTGACACTGCTCCTACAACAGTCAAGGACTTATACTCGACACTGCTAGACGACTGCTAGGTCAGTGACTGTACAGTGTACAGTGTGCACCACACCCAGTCACTAGTCACGACAACAGTAACAGTTTTCCTACGTGTCCTTGACACTGCTCCTACAACAGTCAAGGACTTATACTCGACACTGCTAGATGACTGCTAGG